TACTGTTAGTTGCATTTGGCCTGTTTTGAATTCACTGTTTTTGTGATGTCACAACCACTTTTTCAGCCTACACCCATTCATACTGAAGTTATAAGACATGTTTCAGCTTGGACTGCTTTTCGAATAAGGCACAGCCAATCAGAGCAGAGCTCATTTACATGTTTTCCCCTTGCATCTCCAAAATGGAACTTTTCAGGAGAAGGAAAAACATCCTTAATTTTTAATATAAGTTAATGTAAAAGTATTTTATTCCAAGCAATTCTGCACCGTTTCTTTTAGTCAATTCATCACAAAACCTTTGCACAGTTTGAAGAACAGCTGGTGTTTTCAGATGATGCTAAAAAATGAAAATGGAAATGTAATATATGGAATAAATAAGTTTTAAAGGAACAGTGACGAAAACTTCCTGTTTAGCTGTAAGGAATAAAGAGAGGTTGGAAAATGATCGTCATTAAAAATGAACGATTTTTGGTGCATAAAACCAGACGAACAGCATAACTGGACCGAAAAAATCTAGAATATGGGCCCTTTAATAATTCCACTGTTTCATTTTTGAAAGTAACAGTGTGTTGCTTATGAAAGCCGTATTAGACTCTAAATGTCAATGTTAAATTCAGTGGTTTTAATCTTGGTGTGTTTTATTCAGCCTTGCTTTTGCTGTCATATTCCCCTCCAGGCATACATTTCATTCTTTATGTCCACTCGGGGTCCTTTCTGACCATTCTAACCACACACCCACTGGTCACCCAACACATACACACAAATAAACAAACCCATGCTGCCTTGTTTCCCAACTGTCGAACGAAATGGTAATGTTTCAGGCGAAGGAAGAAACGTTATTTACTCTAATGTCCGTTAATGTAACAAGACTTTACTTTGGAGCATTTATGTTGATCCATTTATCGAGAAATGTAAAGACGTAAAGGGGAGCTGGTATTTACATATGATGTAACAAATGGAATTAAGTTTTGCCGAGATGTACAGTACTGTGGTAAAGTCAGAGACCACCTTTATTTATTTAATTTCCTGTCAAAATAGCCATAAATTACAAGTTTAAATCTTAAGTTGCATAAGCATATATTTAACAGACAATTACCCAGAAGCCTCAATGATACTTAACATTTTTAGTGTTCAGTGAGTGTCTCTTTCCCTTTATTCCAGCTTCCATTCTTTCCAGGAGCCTCACTTTCAGCTCCTCAAAGAATCTGCAGACACACCTCCAAAGTTCAGTCTTAGAAGCTGGTTGATCATTTTCTGAAGTAATCAAACACATTCAGTGGTGTTGAGGTCTGGACTCTGGGGTGGTCAGTCCATCGTTCAGCTTCTTTGCTTGATGTGTCCGTCTCCTTTTCTCAGTGAGGTTCTTCTTGACAGCTACACATCCTTTCAGACCCACAGCGCTGAGTCGTCTTCTCACAGTGGAAGGATGGACAGAAACACCTGTGGATGTTTTCAGATCTGAAGCAGCTTGATTTTCTCCTCTCTCTCAGAGATGAAAGCTTTCAGTGCTGTTTATCTGGGGGCAGATTTGGGGTCTACAAGGTCTTCCAGGTGGTTGTTAGGAGTCTCGTTTTGTGTGTATCTTTTAGTTTTTTGAACTCTAGTTTTGGAAACTCTTATTTTCCCTTGACTTTGTCCTTCTTTATGCATAGTGATATGTCTTATCTCCTCAGAAATATCTCCTGAAAAATGAGTAACTTGTGCTTAATTGGTATTTTGACTGGAAATTAAATACATAAGTGGTGGTCTCAGGCTTTCGCACAGTGCTGTAAATGTAAAATGGTGAAGTGCATGTATCACTTTATTTCTAAATTAATCGGAAACCAAATCTGCTAGAAATTCTTACTTCTTCCTTTAATACATCTAAAACATGCACATTACTGTATGTTGGCTGTCTGGTCTCGCTTATGTTTGAGAGAGTCTCTAAGAGGCAACATCCCTTTCATGTTTTCTTAATATCCATAGCTCACGGTCATCTGCATCCTCTCCTCTCCTGACCAATCAGTTCCTTAGCTCTTCCCTTTTCCCCTCCTCTTTACACCCTCTCTGTCCCTCCCTCCCACATTCCAGCGAATGGCTCCTTCCCCTGAGTCCGCAGTATTAAAAGAATACGTCACCCAAAAATGCTAACGTTGCTAACGAAGGAAAACAAGGATATACAGTGTGATTGATTCTAACTCAACTCTGCCATAGCGCCCCCTGCTGCTTTATTGGCTCTACTCTTCTCCACAGCCTAGCTGAAGTATCCTTGCTCTGATAGAGCAGATGTCGGCAACATTGTAAATGAGGGTCACCCTCAGTGTTCTCCAAGGTTAAATAAAGGTTGATTGGTTGAGTTTCCGGTATCAGTAAACAACTGACCGTTTACAAAATGCACACCTCTCAGCCAATCAGAATCGCATGTAAGCGTTCTTTCCTCCGTTAGGTGAAGAAAGAACATCTCAGTGAGAACGGCAGCTGCAGTGTAAAAGTTGTTACTGAGGAACATACAATGCCTGTATCTTGCTATCCTGATCATGTGGGGGTGGGTGTTTTTATTTCATTCCTGTAGCTGGAAAAGTTTTGGACTAAACTCTGTAGAAGACTAAACTCACAGCTCAATGTCAAAACTATTAACAGACAGAATTATAGTAGCTCTAAAGTGAACTAAACATTATCTGGGTTACTGTACTTCCTAACAATCATTAGGTTAACTTTACAAAGCCAGTTTACTGCGCTTTGTTTTATTGTTCTATGTGTAATTTTTGTGTCGTTTTCACAGGCCACAGTTTTCGATCTAGAACCACAAAACGTGTCAGGATCCTAGAGCCTGTGCTTTTGGGTCTGATCGCATGTATGGTTTTAATACAGCATTCGTGTTGCCTCCCGTTAACAACTTGTATACATAGTGGCACACACACACACACACACACACACACACACACACACACATATACATATATATATATATGCAGCGCTGCTGTCGGAACAAACCCACCTTGTTTTTGAGTTTTTGACATAATTCGAAAATACTCATTGACCTTTACATTGTGTACATAGTCATTGTGTGTAAATTTCATGATGAATGCACCAACAGAAATTACCCAAACTTACTTGGAAAAAAAGTCTGGTTCCATTGACTTACATTAAAAGTAATGTGTTTTTCGTCCTCCTTTAAAGTTCTCATTTTGGAAATATGAGGTTTTGTTTCAACAATAGTGATATATATATATATATATATACACATACACATATTAGCAACCACCTGGGATACCATAGCAGTGGCCTAGCACATTTAAGCAACCAACTGCGACATCATAACATGGCCTAGTAACACCTACCAATGACCTGGGATACCATTGCATCAGCCTAGTAACACCTTAGCAACCACCTGAGACAGTATAGCAACAGGCTAGCCACAGTTTAACAACCACCTGGGATACCATAGCAGTGGCTTAGCAATACTTTGTACATTCTTTGTACTGTTCAATGAAAGAACTTCTGTAAAAAACAAGGTCTCCTCATCTAACATTGCTCTGGCTAGCTCCAGTGTTAGCATTAGCTCAATGTTTCCAGAATCCTTTTTTGTTCACTTTAAATGGGCTTGCATTTGTATATTGTCAGCTCACAAGCATGCATGTCTGCATCGAACATCTTGAAAGCCAATTTATTTTTGAATGAAAATGTTTTCAGATGTACTTTATGTGCTTCTACATTCGTATAAATAAATATAAATCCTTGTGCTACTGAACTTTGTAGTCTGAACAAGTGTTAGGCAGCCTGAGCTGAAGGTTTTACTCATGTCACAACAGTAACTAAAGGAGGCGGGACTTTCCTAGAATTTTGCAAACGGACAGTTGTTGTTGTTTCAGTTTTATTACACAGGTAATATTGAATGTACCCTGCGTTTATATCCTCATGTGGGGCCTTTTACTTTCAGCAGTTTGTGACTGAAGCATACGTGTATTTGTGAAAATGTACTGGTGTTGCTGCATGTCAGTTTCCTCCCTTTCAACAATGCAAACCAAGCTACTTTAGTGCTAACAGTGCCTCCTAGTGAGGGATATTTAAAGCTGCTAAACATGAATGAGTTGGTTAGTGATTTCATTCATTTGTTCTTAGTTTGTTATTTTGTTTGTTCGTGAGAGAATGAGTTTCTTAGTTTTTTAGTTTGATAGCTCATTATTTAGTTTGTAAGTTAATACATTAGGTAGTATTTTAGTTTTAAGTTTATTTAACTAGTTTATTTCATTCAGTACTGTGTCAGCGAGTTTGTCAGTCCATAACTTAGCTTGATAGTTTGTGAGTTTATTTGTTAGGTTAGTTTATTTCTTTGTTCACAGTTTGTTAGTTTATTAATTAGTTCCTTAGTTCATCAGCTTGTTCGATAGTTACAAGTCAGATCTGTGAGTTGCTTCACTTCTGAATACTAGGTTTAGCATTCAGGACATGCAAACTGGTCCCTAGCGTTTTCTTTGTTAGCCACGTTAGCATTCTTGGGTGAACTATTCTTTTAAAGCCCAAACGGCTGAGTTAGCGGCGGCTTACGTTCTCAGTCTGAGCTGCTTCTGTAGGCAGGACGTGTCTACTGAGCCCTAACAGAGTGTACTGTCCTCCACTGTATGCTGGATTGGTCCCATATGGATTGTTGCACACTCGTTCCTTCGCCCCCTCGCTCCCTCGACCCCTTGCTCTCTCTTCCCTGGGCTGAAGTGGCCGCTGCATGCCGGCGCTCTTACAGGCTTTCTGGAGCCAAACTCAGTGGCATCTTCCTCATGATGATGATGATGGTGTGAGATGAAGAAGCAGCATCCTGCATTAACTCTGGACCTGATTTGAACTTCTTCTCCTTCTTTTCGTCTCTTTACGCCTGCTTTTTTCTGATGGTCCAGAGAATTCTAACTTTCTTTTCACCTCTCCTTCCTCTCTTCTCCTCTCGTGTTGGCTTGTGTGTGATTTCTCCTCCCTCTTCTGCTCCTGGCCTTCCTCCCTGCTCTCCTCCTCTTCCTCGTGTCCTGCAGCCTTGCTCCTAGGTAAGTTTGAACCCAGCAGGTTTCTCCTCCTCTCTTCCTCCTCTCCTCTCGCTCCATCTGCAGGATGCTTTTTCTTACCTGTAACTCACCTGAGGATCATAACACACTCATTTATGTCTCGTGGCTTCACACTGTGGGTTTGTTGGTGGTTGTAACGTGTTTTGCTGTGTTTTGTTTCATTCTGGCTCAATTGGAGCTGGGCAATATGACCATAATGGAATTTTAATATGTATTTGTCAATATCATTCCTAAGATATTTCCCTCAAACTCATCCTTTTTCACTATCCACAGTCAACACTGATACTGCTTACTGACCCACTAGTATGTGTTGTAAGTGAATGGCTAGACTTATTCCCCCTCTCTGTCTACACAATGCCACCTAGGCTATATTTACACCGCAGGTAAAAATGGCCCAAATCTGATTTTCTCACCAAATCCGATTTTTTGTTTGGCTGTTCACGTTATCTTTTATCTGTGACCTGTGTGCAACATTAGTCTGAACAGATCCGACCCACATGTGCAAAAGAACAATGCTTTACATGGCAGCTCGTCCAGAGGTAAATGATCATGATGGCCAGCAAACGCCAGTCGCTCCCGGAGCTTTCAGTTTCGTCTTTGCTAGCGTCACAGGAGCCATCATGAAGTTCCAATATTTGACAGCTGGGCTCATCACCGAGAATGTGTTCGAGTTCGCCATAAAAAGGGCCCGTTATTCGGCCACAGCCACTTCGTGTGCTCAGATTCTTTAAACTTTTTTTTGACGCTGCAGCCTCGGTCTCCTCTGGACGTGTTCGGCCGTTTGGTTCGAAACCTCTTTGAACGCAGAGCTGTTGCAATAAGTCTCTCTTAGTTTTTTGGTACAGAAACATCAGCCTAAATGTTTATGAATCTCAGCAGCACGAAATTATGACGAATATCAAGTTGAACTGACATAAAAGTTGCATGAATTCCGAGTCGCATTGCCGCAGATCCGGATTGGATGTCAGTACCACATATGAAAGCGTCTCAAATCGGAATTGAAAACGTCAGATTCCGTGTGTTTTTTCTGTTCACATTGACACACAGACACACATCTGTGTCACATATGAAGAAAACGATTTTGCCGGATTTGGGCCACTTTTACCTGCTGTGTGAACAAAGCCCTAGTGTAGCAGCTGTTCACAGTTCAGCCTGTTGCCAAAACTGGTTGAATATCAGAACAGCATTTTATTGAAAGTCCCTAAAACATGCATAATCAATATGAATACATATGTGATTTTGATAATCATTATTGTTTTATCGCCCAGGCCCTGCCTAAAGACTTAACTTCGCCACTGTCAGTCACCTCACAGGCTCTATTCCTGCTCTAGCTCCAGTCATACTCTTGTTAGGAAATAAATTCATCAGCAGTTGGAATTTTAACCCATTTAATCCCTAAAACTGCAGGCTTGTTGACATATTATTCAGTAACTACTATGAATTATTTAGCAACAGCTATGAAACTGAAGAATCCAAACCCTCCAAACCAGGCAGAAGCCTAATGTCTGGGAAATCAAATCTTTATTTCTAGCATGCAGATACCAGACATTTAGCCATCCTGTTAAACAGTGGACGGTCACAATTATATAGACTGGACCGATGCCAAGATTAGGCCCAGCCTTTATATGACAAGTGACAGGTGTAACAAACATGACCATGTAGGCATCGGCAACATGCCCTGTTGTGGCTCCACAGCAGAATTTGATTTTTAGGTAGAAATAAAATAATCTTCCTTTGCAGTAAAATAAAGCTGGAGTGATTATAAACGCAAATAAGTTCATTCATCTCCAAATTATCGATGTTTGTCTTAAATCTCTCTCTTTGCCGTTTCGTTATCTACTAACTAGGCGAGACTGTTGTCTGTGTTGCTATGGTGACCAGCAGTCTGCGCTGATCTTCAGGGTTAAAGGGTGAATCAGCAGTTCTACATTAACTCCAGAGTTTAAGACCATTTATTGTTAAACTGTGTTGAACGATCAGCAGAGCTTTATTTTACTGTAAAGGAGGATTATTTTATTATTACCTACAAAGTCTGATTCTGCTGTGGAGCCACAACAGGGCAGTAAAAGTATAAGAGCCGCATGTTGCCGACCCCTGGCTTCAACGGTTTATCCATTCAATTTTAACTTCTCTGTGAATCAAAGATTATTTCTTGGCAATCTGCATGATAATAATGCATATTTCAAATTCTCTTGATGTTCTTACGTGCAGTAAGAAGCAGAGGCTGATGTACGCACCTATTTATATGAACTTTCTTGCCACATATTATTTTTATGTGTTTTTATGGAGTGGTTTTTGTCTTTTTCTAGAAATCCTTTTTGGGAAGTTTCAAAGACCGTGCATTATTTCTTATTGTTCAGTTTTAGGTGTCTGTTTTTGTTAAGATAATTCTGATTACCCAAACATTCGCTCAAGTGCAATATAGTCAATAGTCACAGCCCACATTTCAACAAATGTTGCAATGTCCTGTTTACAGAAACTCACGTAGTGAAATGTTTTCACCTCTTGCTGACACTGAACTGTATGAGTAATGTGCAGAGCATAAATCACCTGAAGTTCATAACGAAACCTATTGAGTAATCAAATGGGACCAGACATGACTGAAAGACTGCTCTGAGACGGTTCTCAGCATCGCCTGTGGGTGTGGACTTCAGCGGAAAAGATCTACAAACACGGTCACAAAGACGTTTGCTTACTGAACCAGCACAGAGTACATAACAGTTAGAGCCTGCAGCCTGCAGGATGAGTCACATTTCAATCTCAAACACTGACCAGGAACATGGGTGCAGTTATCATCGCTATAATTTAGCAATAACTAATGCAGTTCTGTCAGTGTGTTACTGATACATTATTGATGCATGATTAACTGTTCAGTTACTTGATTGTGAACTGTAGCAAAATCTGAAGTGTGAAGAAACCATCCACCTGTTTATGATCATAATTTGTCTGTTTTTGATTTTTACAGGCAAGGCAAAGACCAAAACAAGAAAGGTCCCAATATCAAACTTGGCCAGCAGGGGGACAAAAAGAGCAGCAACATCTTGCAGGACCCTCGCAAGGACAACCCCATGGACAACCCCAAGGTGTGTATGTGTGCTTTTAATGCATTCTCTCTAAGTCCAAGGCCAAGGGGACACATTGAAAATGTTTGTATGATATTAAAATTGAGTGATATTAAACATAAACAAGGTAGAAATATAGCACATCTTTTAAGCACAGGCTTAAAAATCACTTATCAGACCTGTGTGAGAACCGTCTGGGTGTGGCCTAGTGTTTCAACACTCCCATCCTGCAATGGCACTGAAGCAAAACTAAACACAAGTGATTAGGGAGAAATGGATTAAACAGGGTCTGTATATGTCTCATTGTATGTTTACATGCACTTAATAATCCGATAACTGCAGAAAATCAGATCTTGTCAGTGATCTGATTAACACGTTTACATGCACTTAAGTAATCAGATAATGGGGAATCTCCGGGTCTACATGGGTCAGACAGTAATCAGATTTCTGCTTTGCAACCAGCCAGTAAACTCACAGAAGAAGACGTGTGCACAGACTGAGAAATCCGAAAGAAATCAGAGTAAGAGTTTACGTGCACTGAGAAATCTGATTACTGAACTAAAATCCAGCCTCTTTATTGTATTTCTTAATCGGATTTCCAGATCGGAGTATGGTGTTTACATGACAATTTGAATAATCAGATAACTGCAGAAATCCGATTATGCAATTATGATCGGATTATTGAGTGCATGTATACGCACTCATTGTAGATCTCACAGTGTTCTCAGTTCACTTAAATCCATTGCATCCAGTGTTTATATGGAGACATCTTAACCCTCTGGGGTCAACGATCATGGCGATGTGTCAAATTAGGTGTTTCTCTGTGTTTCTATTAATATCTTTGCAATAATACTGCGCAGAAATACAGTTGAAATAGTTCCTGAGTCTGTAGAGTCGCCCTTTCCATTCCATCACATCGAGAGATCAGACATGACTCACATGCGGAGTTATGAGCCTATGAAGAGGGGCTGAGATACACGTCATCTCCCTCTAACTGTTTGTAACTTGTGGATTTGTGTGTTCGTCATCTGCCTCTCGCCTGTAATTGCAGAATTTGTGTGTCTGTCTATATTTTGCATGAAATTGACCAATGGACACTCAGGAAATCACTAAGGACGTATCAATCACGTCAAAAACACTTAATTTTTTATTCAGTTGTCTCAGATACAGACGCGAGTGGCACGTAAAAGGTTTGCAGCCGCTGAAGTTGCTGCAGCAGTTTTGGAAAAAAAGCAATGAGGAGAACATTTATCTACTGTTTTATTCATACATTCCACTACTTTTGTGAACTGAAGACTTTGCTAAACCCATTTCAAGCACCAAAACAATTCATCCACATGAGTTAAGCAGTGTTCTTGCAAGAGATGTTAGGAATTTCTAAAATCAGATTCCATTTTTTCGTCTTTCAGGCCAAATTATCTTAACGCAGTGCTCCAGGTCACAAAGGCCTCATTATAGAGAGAGCTGAGATTGTTCTGAACATTTTGATATATAGTATGTGGGTATCATGTTGTGTGCAAGAGCCTTTAAAGGCCAGTTTAAGAATATATCGCTGTTGTGGGAAGAAAACCTTGTATCTCCAAAATGGTAACTTTACAGGAAAAGGAAAAAACATACTTTACTTTTAATGTAAGTCAATGGAACCAGACATTTTACAAAGTCATTTTGGGTCATTTCTTTTAGTCCATTCATCATGAAATTTACATACAATGCAAAGGGTAACAGGTATTTTCAAATTAAGTCAAAAACTGAAAAACGTCAAAAATGGAGATATGAGGTTTTCTTCTGACAGCAGCGATATGCAAAAATCAAGAAAATGCCCTCAGAGCCCAGAGAGTTAAAGAAGCTTATTATTCACCATACTACTGGATGTTTACTCAGGGAATGCCGGTAGAATGAATAAACAGACGATTGGGTGGACAGACAGACAGACCACAGGCAGAAAGATGGGCTAGCTTGATAGCTCAGTTATTCTTCTTATATTAGCTTTCACTTGGTTGTTAGCTTTCACTCTCCGACTCACAGAGAGACTATAGGGAACACAGTTTTGTTTAATCTATGTGGGCAGAACAAGCTGCATCACCCTTGTGATTGGTGAGGATAATGCTTGACCCAAGATTAGGATCACCCAGTTTACACTGAAGGTGGAGGCAAATACATCAGGCATTTAAGGCAGGGGTGCTCAACCTTTTCCACCCCAAGGCCCATCACAAAGCTTATCAGCCCACAGCAAAACCAAAATAAATCAGCCCTTTTTAATGCAGTTTTCTTTTCACTTTTCTTAAGTGCTGACTCTAAAAACCTGAGAATTAGGGCAGTTCAATCACCGAAACCAAAATCACAGCTTTGTTAAAAACCATAAAGTAAAAAAACATGTGGTTGCAGTGATGTTACAGAGAAAGGGGGAGGGTCGAAATGTACATGGTAGATGTGGACGGTGATTTAGAGCTGCAGTCCATCGTGTTTTCACTGAAAACTGCCACAAGTAACTGTTTGGTCTCAGGATGTCTCTTTAGTTTTGAGGGTTTTTGTGATTCATTTGAAATAGCCAAGCCACACCCCTCTCACCGGGCTTCTGGGTTAGCGTCATCACAATTAACAATAATAATAAACCTGACTTGATATCTGCTTCTTTATGATTGGCTTATCCATTTGAATTCAACCACTCAGGTCACTGATGCTCCCCATCAATGAGCCGAAATCAAACGTGGACCTTCGCCATTATTTCAATGCTCATCTGTTGTTTTTAACAGCTGCAGCTGGTGCTGCAGGAAGGACATGAGAGCAAATGAGAGTCTGTAAAGAGTCAGACGTTAAAACAGGCAGATTATACTGACTGTACGATGCTAAAAGTGCTGCTAGATGAGAAGGAAAGCGAGCTCTATTAATGAATTCCCTCATTTGATCACAGAACACGTTTCCATCAGCAGTGAACAGTTTGTTTTGGGGCAGACCGAGGCCCACAGGTTTTGCTGGTTCAGCTGTTTGATGCAGACCTGAATACGGGTGGAATATTCACACACGTCAAAACGAAGGGAACTAAAGAAAAGGTGTGATAGGTCCTCACCAAACAAGACAGGTAAAAGCACCCTGAGGAACTTCTTCAAATCTGGTGCGCAACCCTGCGTTGTCTCAAACCGATGACGTGTAATTAGCCTGTTACTGCGGTGTTTATTATTCACATGTCTTTAGTAATATTTAGATTGGATATAATTTGAAAATGTTTGATTCTTAGATTTTTAAATAGTAAGTTATTCTTTTTTCCACTTTTTATGACTTAAAGTGATGTTGCTGGCCCAGCACTACTTCTGCCTCCCCCTGAGTACAGGCCCGCAGCCCACTAGAGGGTGCTTCACGGCCCACTGGTGGTCCACGGCCCACAGGTTGAGAAACCCTGATTTAAGGGACACTGGAAAGTTATTCACAGGACATAGTTTGTGCATGTGTGCCGTGTTCCCACAAGAGCAAATTTAACCTACTTAACAAGAAAACATGGGTGAAGACTCACTTTAAATTCAAATTTTGGAGGTTTTACACGTCTGGTCCTACAAGTTGATTAACTGCTGAGATTTTTTAGAGAGAAGCAGGGAGGAGTTGGAGAAGGCTGCTCTGGAGTCTCTGCTCTGTGCCTGTGTGTGGGTGAGAATGTGTATCTTAGTGCCTGTGGTTTGTGTTTAAACTCTCTCCGCTTTTCTCCTTCTCTCCCTCTCTCAGATGGAGGAATTGATGAGCGTGCTGGAGAAAACGAGGCAGGAGCTTGAAGCCACTAAACAGCGCCTGTCCTCCACCCAGCAGTCGCTTGCTGAGCGGGACAGTCACCTGACCAACCTCAGGCAGGAGAGACGCAAACAGCTGGAGGAGATTCTGGAGATGAAGTGAGAGATGCTTCTTTTCATGCTTTCTCATACTGATCGTTCGGTCTGCTTCTCGTAATCACTCTCTCCTCCATTCTCACTGTGATAAAGTTCCTTTCGCATGATTTACTGCTCATGCGCGCGGTCAGGAGCATTTTGAAGAGGTTACCTACGTTTACTAAGCCATCATCTAGATCTGCCGCTTAAAAAGTGCTGATCGTTGATCGAAGCTGATTTCTTCAGATAGCTTAGCGCTGAAGAGGACAGCTTTGCGCTCTTCTCCTCTTTGGGAAATCCATACCGTCAACAAACAAATGCCAGGAGAATGTTGTTCAGTGTTATTAGGTTTTTCATGTCATTTTCCTGAAACCGATCACGGATTACAGAGCTGTATTCGAGCCAGTCGTTAACTTCAGGCCATTCTTTCCTAAACTTTCAACCATGTTTTACCAGAAATAAAATGCATGGTTGATATGACCCACTCTCACTAAAGTTCACACAATTTTTAATGCTATAAACTGAATCTAGTTTAGAAGACTGCAGCGTATAAGTTGAAATATGGCTAACCTCTTCAAAATCTCTGATTAGCTGGGGTCGAGACTAGAGCAGAAACGGTTGTAAGGCCACTAATTGGTGCCTCTGTGACACTCGTCTGTTCAAACTGTTGATTTTCATCAGTAACATCAGTTCTTGGCTTTTTAAAGAAGTTCTTATCAAGTGAATTGGGTCGTTTATCCATTTCTGGTCATTAATTTATTCGCCTTTATTCGCAAAAATGATCATTTCTAGAGAGAAACATTATAAGCGCACCCAATCTGTTGATTACTATCACTACGTGGCTGCCCCCTAGTGTCATGGAGATCACTCTCTATATAAGCTCACCGGACAAAAAGTTAGTCACCTGTGACTGACACTTACCTAATAGCGTTTAATACCTCCACGAGCACGAATAACAGCTGCGATTCGATTTGGCATGGACTGGACAAGTTTCTAGATGCAGACGACATCACTGTTCAGCCACTCCTGAATCAAAGAACTGTGCCGTTCAGCCATATTTTTCTGGATGCCTTTGCTGGTGTCTTACTCGATGTTCTGGGTCGTTCCACAGATTTTGAAGCCAATCATGCCAATCAGTCATATTTGCAGCCCTGTGAACGCAAGAACTGTCATCTTGGAATAGAGGGTTAGGAATGTTCCTCGGTAAGATGATGAGCAAAAGGCAAATCCTGGTTGTCCAGCAGCTCAATGTGGGCACTGTGGTTCATATTTACTGTCACCCAAACCAAAGTAATTAAAAAAACCCCAGAACATCACAGAGCTCCTCCAGCTTGAACCATACCTTGTACACAGTCCTCACTGAAGGCTTCCTGAGGTCTACAAAGAACCCAACTATTCACCCACTGTAACCAGGCAGCTTTGACAGCAGATGTAAACAAAAACTCTGCATGGCCACTCTGCTCCATGTGTTCATGGCATGCAGTTCTCTGCGGAGTGTTCTTTGAGAAATTGGTTGTGAAAAACCTGCATTGACTTCAAGAAGCAGTTCTTGCCTGGAAGCGAAGTGATTTTTTATTCGCAAGCCGAGAAACACGCTGGTGGTCTCTGTCCGTCAGTTTCGTCCACAATTATGACGAGAATTTCCTGTAGACTGGGATTTTTGCCACTGCTGGTCGACCCATATGACCGTACGCTTCGATACACCTACAAATTCAGCTACTTCCTTCACACCGTGGCCTTTGGCTGCCCAAACACAATCACTCCTTTTTGCCATTCATTAACATCTGCTTTGCAACCCATTTTCCACACATCGAACAAGACATTCACTGCACTGTAGTGCCAACATGCTTGTATCACCTCTGCTATTCAAGATGGGGTCCTAAGAGCATTTTTTGTGTTTCTTCTGCTTTTTTCTAACGTTATTGTCTTTGTAACTCTCTTCTGCTGCAGGCAACAGGCTCTACTGGCCGCTATCAGTGAAAAGGACGCCAACATTGCTCTGCTGGAACTGTCTTCCTCTAACAAGAAGAAGACACAGGAGGAAGTGATGTCTCTGAAACGCGAGAAGGACAGACTGATGCAGCAGCTCAAGCAGCAGGTGAATACAGCAACAAACAGCAGCTAGAAACACATGCTTTGCACAACACTGACGGTTACGTAATTCCCATAATTCATGAGTCAACTTGTATTCAAAGTTAAGCTTAAGACAAGGGTGGGTTTAGTGGTCACGTCTTTCTTATGACTTAGTTTGCTCTCTGTAATTCTTAAAGGTTCTTCATGAGATCAGGTAGTTGCTAACTGACGCGTATGCAGTAACATACGTAAACATTTAGTTTGACTGCTGTCATCCTCACAGACGCAGAGCAGGATGAAACTAATAGCAGACAACTATGAAGATGACCACTACCACCCTCATGCCCCTCTTCACCATATGCAACCCCAGCCACCCCACATCCAACCACAACCTCAACCCCAGCCTCTGTACCCACACGCCCCTCTCCCTCAGCAACAGCCCCCTTACCCTCATGCCCCACACGCCCAACATCCCCAACACCCACAACACCCTCAACCCCCTCCACAGCACCCACATCCCCAGCAAGCACCTCAGCCTCAGTACCCCCAGCACCCCCAACATCCGCAACACCCACAACACCCTCAACACCCACAACATCCCCAACCACCGGGCCCCCACCAGCACCCGCCCAGGCCCCAGCAGCCCCACCCACAACACCCGCACAGTGGTCCCCCTCCCCAGCAACACCCTCCACACCCTCAGCACCCTCAGCACCCACAGCACCCACAGCACCCACATGGACCTCCTCCACCCCAGCAAAGCCCTCACCCCCACCACCCCCCTCATGCTGGTCCTCATGGCCCTCACCCGCGACACCCACCACCACACCATCGTGGTCCCGCCCGTGGACCGCTCCACCCTGGACACAGGCCGTCTCCAGACCCGGTGGGTTCAACAACTTTTGTATTTTCTTTTAAACCTCTTGGTGGCATTTCTAGTCCTTTGTGTGAGTCTAACCACAAGCCTGTCTAACCACTTCGCTGTCTATCTCTATCTAATCTACCTTTAAGCAATGATGGTCGCAGGGACGGCTACAGTGAACAGAAAAAACTGTGCATGTACACATTTGACTTACTCACTAAAACATCTAAGCAAGCTTTAAGAGACTTATTTTCACATTTCTTCTGCGTGTTGGATTAGAATTTTATTTACATTAGATAAAGACAATACAAGTTTCGGGCACAATGTTCAAAAAGGCTGGCTAACAGTCTATTTTTCCAAAGTAAAAGAAGGAACACATCACCCCCCCATTCTTAAATCCTTACACTGGCTACCAGTCTGTTCCCGAATAGACTTCAAGATACTGTTACTGCTCTATAAATGTCTTAAAGGTACAGAACCAGCATATTTATTTTATATGTTGCAGCGATATGAGCCGAGCAGAACTCTCAGATCATTGGGAGCTGGTCAGTCAGTCCTGCCGAACGTGAAGACTAAACATGGAGAAGCAGCGTTTAGATGCTATGCTGCTCTTAAATGGACCCAGTTGACAGAGAGCATTAGACAGCGGACACTTCAAATCCAGGCTCAAAACGTTCCTATTACAGCAGCTTTCAGCTCAGTTTAAACACTGTCAGCATTTCTAGCTCTTTTCCTCTGTAACGTCACTTTTTTAATGTCTAATTTGATGTTTAACTTAATGATTTTTCTCTCTTAAATCTCTTGTTTTAATCAGGTTTTTAATTTTGATTCTCCTTTACTTTTTTAAACGACTGAATTTTCTCATTTGTAAAGCACTGTGAATGACAGAATTGTGTAAAAGGTGCTCTATAAATAAACTTGCCCTGCCTTTTATGAAGATGTATCATCAGGCGAGCAAAGACTCATTAGAACTGCTGCTTAATGACTGGTTTTAATGGCTACAGCACTAATGCATATAACTTTCTGACCACTATAGCCGTCCCTCCAAATGTTTACTATTATCCTGCTTCTGTGATTCATTAGATTTAGATCAGTGGGTCTAAACCCTGGAGCTGAAGTTCCACTTGTCTGGCATATTTTTGTGTTTTCCTCATTAATCCACTCATTAACAAGCCCTTCCTTCCTGTTAGAGCAGGAAAGCACTAAACTGTGCAGTGCAGGGCACTCCAGCACCAGGATTAAGATGCTGTGCTTTATCTGCATGCATTTTTCTCCTGATTATATAATAAATGATCTCTAATCTGCTAATCTGAATGTTCTGCTCCTTCATCTCCTCTAACTTGCCTCGCTTCTTGCTGACCACTGGGCCCTGCATAACGCTCACAGGACGATGAGGAGGGCATTTGGGCGTAACAGTTTCCAAACCAAAGCTATGATGATTTATGGGGTGAGATACTCATACGTTTTCTTTCTCTTCTCATGATTTTGCTGTGTCACTAGGCCTTCCATTAACAATGCTAACGCTGCTAATGAGGTGACACTGAGGAGTTTAAGAACTCCAGCAGCACTGCTGTGTCTGATCCACTCAGACCAGCACAACACTAACAACACTAACACACCACCACCATGTCAGTGTTACTGCAGTGCTGAGAATGATCCACCACCCAAATAGTACCTGCTCTGTGAGGGTCCATGGGGGTCCTGACCACTGAAGAACAGGGTAAAAGGGGGCTAACAAAGTATCAGAGAAACAGATGGACTACAGTCTGTAACTGTAGAACTACAAAGTGCACCTATATAGTAAGTGGAGCTGATAAAATGGACAATGAGTGTAGAAACAAGGAGGTGGTCATAATGTTATGCCTGATCGGTGTAAATGGCTTTCTTCTCGACTCTTTCTTAAACTCTGAAGTGTTTTGAAGAGGTTCTCGGTTTAGTCCTCAGGGAACCCTGTCTGTATCTTAGCTTTATTCCAGCCTTGAACACACCTGAGCCAGGCAGTCATTGCCATATTTTTATGGTTGTTTTAGTATATTTTATTTTATATCTTTACTTCTTCTATTTATGCATCTGTAAACAGCGTACAGCAATACTTTTCATCTGTTTTTGTTTGTTTGTTTGTGTTTTGGGTTCTTTTTCTCTTGTTTCGTTCTTTACTGGACTTGCTGTAGATGACCGTTCTTCTGTGATTATTAAAGTGATCTGTCTTTGCATCGTGAAAGCGTTTAGATTGTTGGAGAATGTGCTATACATGGTTCTATATAGAACCTTTTGGAAAAGGGTTCTATATAGAACCATTTACAACACATTCTCCATCAATCTGAAGAACCTTTTTGTGATACCAAGAACCCTTCAATCTTGCAAAAGCTTCTTTGAGTGTTCCTGGTGCATTGGTCACAGTACCATTCATACTTGTGAGCAGTGATGTATCTAGAACTCCCAGAAGGTCTAAAGTGAGTTTCTTCACAAAATTGGTCCCACTATTCTATATTAAAACGTGACTTTAACTACTGAAGTCCTAACCAATCGGAGAGCTCGAATGGCTGAATCCACATAGATACTGTGGAGAAACAAACCCTGATTGGATCATTTTCCATTGGGCGTTTTGAGAATTTAACCCTTTTGTTTTCAGCCAAAGCTTAACAATGAAACAAGAGTGTTACTACAATACTTACGGAGTTTAAATATATCAGCCATGCTGATTTGATTAATTAAAAAGTAGCTGAAAATTACAGACATTATTTCACAGAAATAACCCGAGGGTTCCCCGCTGGAGAACACTAGAGCTTATGAGATTTGACATGAGTTGTAACTTTAGGAAAACTGTAATGAGGAACTGTAGACGTCTGCTGCTCCGTCTCATTCTTGCTCCCTCTCTTCTGGTCTCAGATGACTCACTCACAGTTGGAGGTGCATAGCCATGTCATGCAGATGAAACTACACATTTTCCATTTGGCCAGACTCTCCCACCAGACCCACACTTTACCAGGGGGCCTTGATACTGAGGAAGAGGAGCAGGAGGGGTGTGAGTGTGTGAGCTGAGCGAGCAGGAAAACACCTGAGCAGGTGAGAATAACCAAAAAGACTTATATATGGTTTTGGGACGAGTGTATTAACCTCTGAAATGGCCAGAGTGGGCCCAAAGTTTTAGTTCACTATTCTATAATCTAAGAATAGCTCAACCAGTTTACATTGAAGTCCCTGTATTTACTGGATAATAAGCCTTAGTATGTAATATTGTTGTTGCTGTTATTAACATTTCTTACTTTTACCCCTACCCCTTGTTTTCGAGTGTCACGTTGCCCCTTGAAACTGAGTTATAAGGGGTGGTGTTTGAAATCATCCCTCTGAAATGGGACCCTCAAATAAAAAGACCATTACTTCATTAACAGCTACCAGCGCTGCTCTGTAGGTGACCCTGCCAGTCTGCAGTGACAGCAGAGGAGGGTAAAGTTCAGCTCCTCACTGCTGGACTTTAGTTACATTTAGGGCATCATATGCCTTCAAAGAGGGGGGCAATTATTTATTATCGCCCACCCCTAATTCTTCAGTGATATGAAGATGAAGTCAGATATTTGCAGCATAAAGCAGAAAACAAGCATAAAAAATTGCCAATAGTTTCGTGATGTCTCGGTAACTAGCTAGCTAAATTTCTTGTTCCACCTTAAATGGTGCAGCAGTTCTGATGCCTGAGACACTAGAATGCAACTGCTGCTGCTTTTAAGGTTGAAACGGGAAATTTAGCTGGCTAGCTACCGAAACATCAGCAATCAGCAAAACATAGCAATTTTTTATGCTTGTTATACAGAAAAGGATCATAACACACTGAAACGACATTCAACTAAGATAATGCAATAATTATCATAGTTTTTAACAGAGAAAATTCTCACATTTGTGGGTTTCTTTGGTCTCTTGTTCAGCCGTCTTCCTGGTTCTTTTTTTTCTCATAACACTCTGTTTGGAGTCTCTGAAAAACCTCCGTTTGGAGGGCTATGTAGCCCCAACACTTCGCCCTACCCCTCTATCTCAACAAGAATCAGGACACCCTACCCCTAGGAGTGAACACGTAAAAAGGAGGGGTAGGGCTAAGTGGCAGGGACAAGGGGTGAAATGGGATTGGGTCATAGAAATAAATAAGTGTGTTCTCTGTAGAGAATGTGTTCACTTATTTTCACTTTAGGTGTTAATGCCTAAATCAACACATATTTGCCTCAACTGTGTGGAGTTGTTCATTAATCTCGAATAGACTTGATGATGTGGTTTCTAACACTGTGCGACACACTGTTATCTATAAACATGGTCAAGAGTAGGGATCAATTCAAGTCTCATTAAGGCTTCTGCTACTGTTTTTAGCTATGCATTGTACATTTGTCTGTTTCAAATGGTTAACATTAGATTTTCCTCCCTCTTTCAGATGGGAGAAGGGCTCAGACTGAGATTTCTTCAGGATTGGATGGAGGAGACACACAGGCAGCTTATCTTACTGTCTAATGGAGTCCCATTCAGAAACACTGCCGTGGATGACCCTCTACGCCGATCCAAGACGAACTCTTGAGACGTCCTCAGCTGCAGTCGCTCTTTTTGACCTGAACCATGTTACCTGCCCACTCACATCTGGCTCTGTTTGCTCACCTGCTTGACCTCACCCCCTCTCTGACTCAGACGCTCAGTTTCTATGATGGGTCCCACCATTCGACACAAAATTAACCCCGTCCCGCCACATCGTCTGCCAGAAGGATCTGCAGTCTCTCTCGTACCTTCCTCTTTCAGACATTCAGAATGACGTTGTTCGGACTTTTACGTTTTTTTTGAAAATTCATTGCCAAGAATCTCTATTTTGTTTTGTTTACATCCGCGCTAGATAAACTCTTGTGAGTTTAATTTCAGTACATATCAGGGTCACATAACTGGGGATTGAAATTCAGGCACTTTGGAGGGGTTTGTTCTGGTTCTCCTGCAGTTTCCTGCGTCTTTACGTTGACGGGGCTTTAGCCCTGTAGGGTGCAGCATGTTGGGCCTTTTAGCTGGGTTAGATCCTGTCCTGTCATTGTCCTGTAGTGTTACCTCAGCTGACAATCGGAAGCACTCTATGCAGGGTTACGTTCGACTCTTTTGTAATCAGTTTCTAGCTTCCAAATGTGCTGGTCGAAACACTGTTTTTATTCCAGCAGTACTGGTCGATCTTTCTCCTTGGAGATCATGGTTTGGTTTGCATTTGAAAGCATGCACCTATGCACCTCCTCCGCCATCATAACTGGCCAGATGCTTCAACAGCTGCATCTGCCAAGGCCGTCATCTTCACAAAACCGCTAAAATGGGCTCAGAACAAAGAAAAAGGCAACTTCTACCCTCCTTCCAGGGTTTATTTCTAATGGTGCTTTTATCGGTGCTTACACCCAACACGGATGGAGACAGCCATTGCCACACTGACTCGTGTCCGGCTATACGGAGTTGTTTTGCTATGACTTTACAGACACTTGGCTGGTCTGTGGATGTGTCTGTAGTGTCCGTAGGCCTAAAGTTAGTATTTGGGTGCTCAGAAGCTACGTCAGTAAGCTCCCTGTTCATATCAGGAAAAATGGTACTAGAGCAGGGGCTCCCAAAATCAGTCCTGGGGACCCTGCAGTATGCACAGTTTTGTGCTTTCCCTCATTTAGCTCACCTGGTTTAAGTCATTCCCTAATTAACAAGCCCCTCATGTGCTGGGTCAGTGTGTCAGAATAGGGATTAAACTCACCAGACAAAAAATGTCCTCTTTCCTGTGAGTTCCTGTCCATTCAAGTCCATTCTTCCATTAACCAGTACACATTTCAGCCAGAGTTCGTATGACCCAATTTGAGCAATTCATCTGGGGTCTGGGGACACTGCTGGTCAGTCAAACTGTTCCATCTTTGTTGAACCAGTCACATGCAGACACCATACAGTCATCTTCCTACAATGTAGGAGTGTCAATGTTGTGTTCTGCTTGGCCATGAAGCAGAAGTTCTTGGTCAGAAGGTTCAGAAGAGTGGAATAAAATGGACAGGAACTTCCAGTATGGTCCTTACATGATGGGATTGGCGCCATCATATAGGGAATTGGATGTTATGGCACGCGCCCTGTCCCCCGGGAGAGAGCCGGGACCTGAACTCTGAGCAAGGCCGAAGCTCAGCAAGGACGGCGGGGAGAGGAGAGCTGTGACTGGGCAGGGCCAGGGCAGTGGAGTTAGGTACTCGCATTCCACCTTCGTGCCTCTCATGGCCATCATCGTCGTCGTCCCCTCTCTGGCGGCTGACGTCCTCCTCCCACCGTCACTCACATCCCTTGGCGGTGTTCGGGACTCCCACGCCACCCCCCACCCATTTACGGTTCTCCTCTCCCCGCTATCCTCGCCAGGCTTTGTCCTTGCTCATAGTTCCGGCTCTCACATCAGTCATCGGGGCCCGATGTAATAACCAAGAAATAGTGAAGAATTGATGCATGCAACTAATCTTTGGTCTGGGAAACTTACACAAAAGACCTCAGATATAGGGCAGATATAGGGTCTCCAGGACTGACTTTTGGAGCCTCTGAACTGTGGATGATGGTCGGCTGAAGCTGCACAGTTAGTCATGTGACCTGCAGTTCCCGCAATGGTCTTTAGGAGGTAATACATATTCCCTGTTTCCTAGATAAAGATGGTCCGAATGGTCCAAGAACCTGATCAAGTCTGCGTGTTCCAATATCAAACCACTTAGGTCAGAAGAGTCAAGGCCGACGTGCCCAGAAAAAGGACGAAGTCGTTCTCTCCTCTCATTCCAACCCTTGTGCTCTTCCCAACCCTTTTACGCTTCCCTCAACATAGTGGCTAGTGCCTCAACAAAATAGATCTATTCATGGATTCTACACAAATCATAGATATATAGAAAAATATATATATATATATAAAATAGATATATAAAGTGTGTCTATATCGTGGTCAGAACATTGTGTCAAGAAAAAAAATTTAGAAAACGTGTTCTGTTTTTGTTTTCTGAACAAAGAAGAACCCAACAAGTGCTGTGATAACAAGTGTCTCTCCTCTAAAACTCCCTCAGGTTCCCACTCTTGAGTTTGAGTGCGTGACCCATTCGCAAGATCTCAATGTGAAGATCTATGCAATAAACAAACAAATAATATATAAATGAATAAATAAAAGTGCAGTGGTTCCATGCTTGATGGATGTGGGTACAGGAGAATGTGGTTCAGTTTTTAAGCTGGATGGACACTTCTTTGTTGCAGCTGAAAAAAAAAAAATCCAATAGCAGTTGACTCATCCTCCATTTGACGTATCCATGCTCTTCTCAGAAATGTGTTCTTTATTAGCTTTACAGGACAAAAATCCCATTGAGCTTAATACAGAAGTGCTGCTTAGGTGCTAGTTAGCTAACCTCGCTAGCTAGTAGCATGGCTGAAGTCGCTCTAAGGACTTTCTGACAGTGTTTTTCACCTTGTACTCGCCACACATACCGATCTCTGAAAACAGAAAACCTGCAAAGGTATGTTGCTTCAAGCTACATCAGTGCAGTCAAGCTACAGAGGCTTAGCCTGCTAGCAACAAACAGAGGCTTAGCTAGCTATCAATATTCAAATATTTTTGCCAGCGTTCTGTAAGAATCGTCCAATCACATTTGTGAGCGGAGCATGGATAGATCAACTGAGATTCCTCCAGTAGTTCAGTTGGACCACCCTCGCTATCCCGGTTAAAGTGGGAGGATTCCAAATCGCTAACGCATTGCCTTTTTCGCTTTCGTCTTCTGTGTGTTCTCTCCGCCGCTGGGCGTGTTTGATCGTGTTTGTGTGGACACTTGGTCATTTAGTGTTGTCAGTAATAAGGCCAAAATCTGACTGTTAATGACGTTCCTGTACGGTGCTGTGCGTTCTTTTTTCCATGTTTGTCGCTGTTCTAGAGTGTATGTTTGTCACAACCAGAACGTTAACCACTGCTCTTGTCATAGAACGTCCACTTGTTGCTGTGGTTCTGAAATGCCTTGTCGTGGCTTTTTTAGAATGTGTTGACTGCTCTGTCGTTAATTGAGCGATCCATGCGCCGCCCACAAATGCGCTCTTTTAAAGCTAGTGTTGCACGTTTGGTGGAACGCTAGTAAAAAGGTTAAAAGTTTGCTGGGAAGCTTTACATACTACAGCAGTTGTAAGCGGAAAACACTGGTGGCAAATCCTTCAGAGTTACTTTAGCCATGCTGCAGTAGCTAACATTGAAGGTTGCCATGTTAGCTAGCTAGCAACACCAACATTGGTGAACCTTCTGACTATTAGGAAGAAGTTTATCCTTAGAGACCTTGATTATCAAAAAATGCACAAATGAACTCACTGGACAAAATTTTCCTCTTTCCTCTGAGTTCCTGTCCATTCAAGTCCATTCTTCTATGGACTGATGCACATTTCAGCCAGAGTTCCTGTGACCCAGTTTGAACAGTTCACCTGCTGTTCCAGATTTAGAAATTGGCATTGACGTCTGGGGCCACTGCTGGTCAGTCAAACTGTTCCATCTCTGTTGAACCAGTCACATGCAGACACCATACAGTCATCTTCCTACAGTGTAGGAGTGTCAATGTTGTGTTCTGCTTGGAAGTTCATGTTCATAAGTTCAGAAGAGTGGACTAAAATGGACAGGAACTTCCAGTGTGGTCCTAACATGGTAGGATTGGCGCGGTCATATGGGCAGTTAGGTGTGTAACCAAGTTATAGTGAAGAATTGATGCATGTGACTAATTTTTTTGTCTGGGAAGCTTAAAAAGGCTTCAGATATAGGGCAGATATAGGGTCTCCAGGACTCCATATGTGGAAAACACCAGTGGCAAATCCTTCAGAGGATTCCCTAAACCTAGCGTTCCCTAAACCTAGCACTAGCTTTTGAATGCATCTGTGGGCAGAGCATGGATATGTCAATGTAGGGTGTTTCCAAGACCAAAAGGTCTTCAACACTACCACCGTCATGTTTCTTATTTTGTACGATTGTGTGTTTCCACCTGTAGTCTGTAAACGTACCATTGGGCAATGGAAGCCGAAAAAGGGAACATTGAACCTAACACTTTTAACTTGATGGGGGCTAAGGATTTTTCTTTCGATCCTCCGTTTTCAGGTCCTTTAAACCACTGAATACTTGAAGTGGGAGTGGAATCTCCTACCATGAAAAAGAGTTCTATTGTACATGGGAAATACGATGTAGAATAATCGTAATAATGATAATAATAATAAATCATAGAGCTGATAGTGCATGTTGAGTTCTGTGTTCTGTGCCAACTGCTGGTCGTAAAATTTGGTGTTGTGGTCTCCAGTGGAGACGCACGTCCATACAAACATACTTCAGCCCTCAAATGAATAGACTGACCGTGTCCAACAGACTGGCTGAGAAAATAAAGAACAAAACACGTTGTTTTAGCTTGTGTGTGCCAGTTGTATAGATTTTCAGTTTATGATGTCAAAAATGCAAAACCTCTGGATGAAAAAAAAAAGAATCACTGTGACCAATGCCAGAAAAGAGTTTTCTTTTTTATTGCAAACTGTGTTTTTTTACTTTGGCTTATTTTGGTTTTTGTATTTTGATTTTTTTAAATAGCGTATGGATTTTCAATGTCCGTTTCAGACTGTAAGATTTGTATATGTAAATTGTTTTTGGTTTATTTTTCTGTTTTTTTTTGCTGTACAGTACTAATTTAGAACAAGACGTTCATTATGAGTGTCCGCATGCTGAATGAATAACGTGTGTGAACGTGGGGGCGGTTTCCCACGATGCATCAGTCCCCCATGCGTGAGACACATTCCGCATCGTGACGTGTCCCGTTTCCGAGAGTGGTGTGTTGTCTCCCCCTAGTGGACAGCCTGTGCAAATAACTGAAAGTGTGTTAGCATGTTTTTGGGATGTAAACCTGAACGTCTTAAGGTGTGTGTGTGTGTTTGTGTGTGTGTGTGTGTGTGTGTGTGTGAGAGAGAGAGAGAGAGAGAGTGAGTTTTGCATGAGTATTTATGTATGAAAGTATGAATGTACATATGTGTACAGTGCAGTGCAAAAGTTAGAAACCACCGTTAATTTATTTAGGAAAAAAAAAAACAGAACAAAAATTTACCAAATATTACACAGAATCCTTAACAGCTGAATCTAATCTCAGCTGTGTGAGTCACTGCGTCACTCTTTCCCTTCATTCCAGCTTCCATTCTTTTCAGGAGACTCACTTTCGGTTCCTCAAAGAATCTGCAGACACACCTCCAAAGTTCAGTCTTAGAAGCTGGTTGATCATTTTCTGAAGTAATCAAACACATTCAGTGGTGTTGAGGTCTGGACTCTGGGGTGGTCAGTCCATCGTTCAGCTTCTTTGTTTGATGTGTCCGTCTCCTTTTCTCAGTGAGGTTCTTCTTGACAGCTACACATCCTTTCAGACCCACAGCGCTGAGTCGTCTTCTCACAGTGGAAGGATGGACAGAAACACCTGTGGATGTTTTCAGATCTGAAGCAGCTTGATTTTCTCCTCTCTCTCAGAGATGAAAGCTTTCAGTGCTGTTTATCTGATGGGGGCAGTTTTGGTGTCGACCAGGTCTTCCAGGTGGTTGTTAGGAGCCCCATTTTCTCCATAGCTTTAAATAATTTTACGAACCCCAGTTTTGGAAACTCCTGTTTTCTCACTTTATGCAAGTGGATCATGTTAAACCAAATTTCCTCAAATATTTCCTGAAAAACCAAATGGCTGTTTCGCTTGGAGATAAAATTAATGCAGGGTGGTCTCTGACTTTTGCACAGCGCTGTATATATATGTGTGTGTGTGTGTGTGTGTGTGTGTGTGTGTGTGTGTGTGTGTGCTTGAGCGCTCAGTGGTATGAAGCCCATCATTACAGGAAGCCCTGTTTGATGCTTGAGGAGTTCAGCATGGATTCTGTATGTCATGTTTGATGTTTTTAAACCCTGCGGGACCCCTGTGTCCCCCCCCTCCACTCCCAGGTGTTTGCTATTGTGTGTGTCGTAATTCAAACTATTACTGAGTGTTGGCCAGCTGGTTTATATCCATTCAATAAAAGTGACTTTCTTTCTGAAATGTGGCATTTGTTCATTTACAATGAACAGGTTTTAAAAAGTCTTACTGAGAAATAGAAAAAAAAGAAGAACAGTGGCCAAATTTCACGTCAGTCAGTCTCATTGACCTGACCGCCGCCAGAAGCAATTGTTGAAGAAAGTGTTGAAACTGTATAGCCTGTTTGAATGAGGCACATCTGCCCACGTGCACTGTATTATCGATGTATTGGGCACCCCTGTCCCAAGGTCTCGTAAATGCACCTGCCACCTTTAACAGGCTTTTGGACCTTTTTTTATTATATAATTTTTTTGAGACAATGAGCAAGAATGTGTGTGTATATATTTTATATATACATACACATTATTATATATATACTTAGATAACATATTACTTGATTCCAAAAATAGACTTGAAGACTTTGCTGTTCTTTAAAAAATTGCTTCCTACTTTCCATATCCTCCACTCCACTAGTATACACTGATGTACAGCACTGAATAATTTGTAATGTTTTTTTTTCTTTGATTTCTCTTCATGTTTCTTGTTTTAAAGGGTAGAGCAGGAAGCCACTGAATGTGGTGTAACCATCAGTGATGGCGATTTGTGTGCCTTTCCAGAGTTTGATGTAAACACGGTCTCCTGGATCCAGAAGCAGTGTGGCAGCGTTAAAGCCGTTGTCCTCACTGTCACCTGAAGATGGCTGGTCCCAAATAGACACAACGTTCACATCGTTTTTAAACAGTGCCGAACTCATCGGTCTCGATGCCCCAGCAAAGCAGTTGAAGGCGAAGACGTAGACTCCTCTCACTGGTGCTGTGAACACTCCTACACAGAAAGAAGGAGAAGTCAGTACTTCTACACCGGGAACCCAAATCAAACCACCTTGGGAGCCACGACACTTTACATCCATTTTACCATCTTGGCTGTAAATATGTCTCACTTTTCTCGCATCTCTGGCAGGAAACGTTTCCGCAAAAGTGGAACATTTTCTTGAACGTTCAACTTTATATAAGGCTGAAGTCGCTTCTCATTCACGAACTTCTTGTTAGAATTTTGCCGTTCCACCTTAAATGCTGTCTGAGGTGCCAGGATGTAACTGCTGCACCATTTCAGATAGAACAGGAAAATTCGAACAGGCGAAGCTGGCGAATGAGAATCTGACTTCAGCCTCGCAACGTTTTAGTGTTTCTAACTTTCGCAGTTTCTTGCTGCAGATTAAACGTATCAGGAAACCAGCTGGAGTGATTATAAACACAAATAAGTAAATTCATCTCCAAATTATCGATGTTCATCTTAAATCTCTCTCTTTGCCTTTTTGTTAGCTACTAGCTAGGCGAGACTGTTATCTGTGTTGCTATGGTGACCAGCAGTCTGCGCTGATCTTCAGGGTTAAAGGGTGAATCAGCAGTTCTACATTAACTCCAGAGTTTAAGACCATTTATTGTTAAACTGTGTTGAACGATCAGCAGAGCTTTATTTTACTGTAAAGGAGGATTATTTTATTTTTACCTACAGATCTGATTCTGCTGTGGAGCCGCAAGTTTGAGTAGTTAATTTGCAAAAAATGATAAATACCATCCTTGAAAAAACACAAGCTGGTGGTTGTGAGTTATTCTTCAAACACAGGACGTTAAATATATTTTGTCACAAAAATATATTTTGTAACCTGATACAATTTTAACCACGTGCATTTACACTTGGTAATCAAATGCATCTGCATTTACTCTCCATATCACTAAATCCTTTAGATTTAACCAGGTATTAATTTATGGACACACTCCACAATTTCAAAACCAAATTGGCTTTGCAGTTAGATGGATGCAGCTTAATTGTCTTACCTGTTGTAGAGTTGAAACCTTCACCAATGTTTGTTTTCACATGTTTGAAGACCAGCGTTATGTCTGTATTGTGGGGTCCGAGGCTTCCTCTTTTCCCTGGAACTTCTAGTGTTGCAGTGAAAGCTATTTTTGGCTGACCTGTAGAAAACAGAAAAAACGCTGGATGTGTCTACATCACACAGCGGGTATTGCGGCGAGAGAACATTAATGAATGAAAACATTGAAAAGTGAAAAACGATCATGAATTCTGTCAAACAAATGAGGCTGAGGGACACAATGTGCTACACAACATTACATGACGTACAACATTAAATGCTACTTTTGGGCTGGAATGATCCCTTTGAGGAAGTGCAAGGTTAAAACTTACTAAGAACCTCTGCGTAATGTAAAGGTTCTACACCAGCATCCAAACCAAGAACACTTTAGGAACCCTTGTTTGTAAGCGTGCACAGCAGAGCTTCTCATGCCTCAGTGAAATGATCCAGTATGAATGCCAGAATTACCTTCCTGCAGCTTTTTCACCTCCTCTCTCAGCTGGGCCACAGCAGCCTTCAGCTCCGCCAGCTCACTCACGATGTCGATCACTGGAACGAGGGGGTCCTGAGTCCACACTGCGGAGAGGGTGGACAGTCCCAGCAGGAGTGCTTTTACAAACACCATCGCTCTTCACTGCTCAGAGCCCTCTTTGTTTCGGGAATGTTATGAGAGCGATTTTAACTGAAACCTTCGCTCCTCTGCTTGAGTTTATATAGTGCTTTACACACAAACACCCACGTTTGGACATTAGACTCTGCAGCTCTTGCCCAAGAGCGACTCTGAGATAGTTCTTCTCTCCCTGTTGACTTCCTATTGTTTCACACACTAAACCATTTCAAAAGCGATTCTTTCATGGATGAAAGCACTTTAAAAATGAACGCCAGGCCTGCAGCAGCACTGTGTGAGCTTCATTTGCAAACAAAGAGCTCAAACAGAGAGATAAAAGAGACGGATAGCTGTGTTTAAGAGCACATGTGCGTAACACAAAGTGTACATAGTGGCCACAGTGCAAACAGAGACAGCCTCAGGACCACCTGTACCTTTCAGACTCATTAAAGGGGAACTCCAGTTGCATTTATAAAATATCTGTGTAATTAAGCGGCTAATATGTAAACAGAGTCGTTCAGAGTGGTTTGGTGTGAAACGCTCAGAGTCAGAATTGTTCACAGTGGTGGTGATAGGAACCAGACGTCCACCTCTAAAGCTCACTCACAGAGAGTTACTACATGAAATGATTATGAATTCACTGCCTGATGACTGAGACATGGTAGTTTTACGATAGTTTCCAGAAAGTTTGGCTTAAAATGTCTTTGCTTTAATCAGTCCATGGTAGAGTAATACATGCAAATCCCCAAAGCATATTTTTCAGATTTATCACAATTTTACCATCATCAATATTCCATATAAAACTCTTTAGACTTGTGTAGGTTCACTGGTCGTTTTGGATAGTAAATAAAATGCTGTGAAATGCAGGGGTCACCATGACTACAACACAAATATAGACATTTTATTTACTATCCAAAACCACCAGTGAACCTACACGAGTCTTCTGAGCTTATATGGAATGTTGATGATAAAATTGTGGAAAATCTGAAATAATTTCAGACAAGTTTTCTTTGGGGACTATTTTGCCTCACAACGTCTTGCACATATTCCTCCACCATGAATGTGTTTAAAAATATGTTTTATACCCAAACCATTTAAAAACTATCATAAAACAGTGTCTCAGTCATCAGGCAGTGAATTCATAACCATTTCATGTAGTAACTTTCTGTGAGGGAGCTTTTAGAGGTGGACGTCTGGTTCCTATCACCACCACTGTGAACAGCTCTGATTATCCTATTAAATGACTCCTTATTTAATGCATCACTTTATTCAGTGTATTAGCGCATGCAGTATCAGTGAGGCCAAGTACATAAGCTGCATATTAGATAAAAACTGATTTTATTAACACAGAAAAGAAGAATTTACATAGATGTTAAGTTTTTTGTACAAGTTTTTAGAGCATACATCCGATTTCGAGGGTTACTCAAGGGTTATCCACCTGGGGGTGCTACACAAACCGCCATTTGTGAGAGTGCCACAGCTTGAGAACCACTGCTGAACCTCAGAGGCCCTTTAAAAATAATCCTGTTTGTGAAAAACGCAAAGTTCTTTCAGTCCAATCCGTCTAACTTCACCGGCCTTTCACAAAGCTGCCCAGTACGTTGTCACTCTTGTCTGAGAGCCAGTATCCCACCATGGCCGCCACAGCCCCCATGAACATGGAGGTGAAGACCATGTCCCCTTTAGCGGCCAGCGTGGCCAGAGCACACAGCACCACGCCGAAGAACATCTGCTTCAGCACCTCCACCTCCTCATCCTGGAGGTCATCCAGCAGACCGCGCGCCTGACCCTCTGCAGGAGGACAGAGACATCACAGCAATCATTTTCTTCATGATGTGTTTAGTGTGTCTGATTAATGTAGTGCAGTCCTGTCTGTACATCAGCGGTCAAAAGTAAAATAAAATAAAATAAAACAAACCAGTTCAGTTGAAGATCACTGCACAATAATGACTCTGATAAGATGCAGTTAGTCTACAAATAAACAGACTTAACTTCAGATAATTGTTAAAAACTTATAAAAAGATAAGAAAGTAGTTCTAATAAAATTAACATCCAGAATGAAGTTCAAATAAAATTAATATACACAATGAAGTTCAAACAAAATAATAAAATTAACAACCAGAATGAAGTTCTAATAAAATTAATATCCAGAATGAAGTTCTACTAAGACTACTATCCAGAATGAAGTTCTAGTTCACAGTGAAGTGTGTTTCTGACATTAGATATGCAGGTGAAGTGGAAATGTTTAAGTGTGTGTTACTCTCTCTCACCTGCCGGCTGGTTCCTCACACACACACTACCACTGTGTGTGAAGCCCGGAGCGCATTCACAGCGGAACGATCCTTCAGTATTCACGCAGAGAGCGTTTATATCAGAGCAGGCCAACACCTCCTCACTGCACTCATCAACATCTGAAACACAGAGCAGACCAACACCTCCTCACTGCACTCATCAACATCTGAAACACAGAACAGACCAACACCTCCTCACTGCACTCATCAACATCTGAAACACAGAGCAGACCAACACCTCCTCACTGCACTCATCAACATCTGAAACACAGAACAGACCAACACCTCCTCACTGCACTCATCAACATCTGAAACACAGACCAACACCTCCTCACTGCACTCATCAACATCTGAAACACAGACCAACACCTCCTCACTGCACTCATCAACATCTGAAACACAGAGCAGACCAACACCTCCTCACTGCACTCATCAACATCTGAAACACAGACCAACACCTCCTCACTGCACTCATCAACATCTGAAACACAGACCAACCCCTCCTCACTGCACTCATCAACATCTGAAACACAGACCAACACCTCCTCACTGCACTCATCAACATGTGAAACACAGAGCAGACCAACACCTCCTCACTGCACTCATCAACATCTGAAACACAGAGCAGACCAACACCTCCTCACTGCACTCATCAACACTCTTTGAGTTTTCAGACATTCTCATCCATAATTGTGGTATCACATTGCATTTTTATACTGCTAATAAAATAAATTAACAAACTAGACAAACAAACAAACAAATAAATAAAAAGCAGCCTGGTCTCATGCTCACCTACACACTTCACACCTGACCATGTGTAACCAGGGGCACACTTCTTACAACGAGCCGGACCACCACCCATACAGCCCACACAGGCACGATCACAACCTACAGAGAGAGAGAGACAGAGAGAACGAGAGACAGAAAAAGAGAGAGGATAGAGACAGAAAGTGAGAGAAAAATAGAGAAAAAGAAAGAAAGTGAGACAGAAAGAAATAACAATAAAAGAGGAGAAACAAGGACAGGAAGAGAGAAGGAAAGAAAGTGAGATAGAGAAAAAGGGAGAGGGGAGGGGGAGGGGGGAGGGAGAGAGCGTGAGAGAGAGAGAGAGAGAGAGAGAGAGAGATAGAGAGAGAGAGAGAAAGGGAGAGATAGGGGGAGTGAAAGTAACTGTATTGTATTTTGGAATAAATAAAAGGCTGATAAGATCTACAGTGTGTTTATATGTAAATATACAACAGTCAGTTCTGACAGCACCGTCTGATTGGTTGAGATCTCTAGCTTTGATGTTATTTGTGATAATAGCTTGTTTTTTTCACACTAACTGTATCATCGGTAACCATTACTGAGTTTCTACTTTAGCACATAAAAAACAGAAAATGGACACATTAGATAACTTCTATAAGATAATATATCTGACCTGCAGCCCATTTGGTCAGATTCTGAAGAAGAGAGTGACCAGAGGCCTACATAAGATTCTGACCCTGTTGTTGCCCCAACATAATTTTTCAGTTTGTAGCTGTGGTGGCAGAACCAGAGCCAGTTTAAGGGGAGCCTGGGACACTTCCTGTTTCTCCTGTTATATCAAAAACATGACTGCAATACACTAGAGGGCGCCCACGAGCGAGTCCTCAGTGAATGGGAGTGAGTGGAGCTAAACTGCTAAAAATGAAAAACTGAACATATTTCTAATGTGTGTATTTTACTAAAAAGCTAAGAGCACACTAACCTGATTGGTTAGCATTACTGCTACTGAGTGCTGATTGGTTAGCATTTCTGCTACTGAATGCTGATTGGTTGGCATTACTGCTAATGAGTCCTGATTGGGGGCTTAGAAAGTGATACAAATGGAGTTTAAAAGTGCTCAAAAATTTGACAACAGCATTGAAATTTTTCACAGTCCAACCAGAACAAAACCACATTCAGGTCAATGTGCTAAAACTGAAAAAGCTGACTGAGTTTTATGGAACTAGGCGGAAGGAATCGTCAACAGTAAAGTACTTCTGATTCAGTGTTCAGGGCCTTGTGCTTTACACACACGTACAAAAGCAAAGACTAGAAGTTGTGGTTGTCTTGTGTTCTATGGCTTATGTGTGTGTGTGTGTGTGTGTGTGTGTGTGTGTGTTACTCACTTCTACACTCGTATGAGGAGTGTGTGTTGAAGCAGTACATGTCTGAGGGGCAGGTATCCAGCTCAGTACCACACTCATCAATATCTGCACAGACATATGAGGAAAGTGGCCAAATTTGGTCTGATAAGTGGGGGAACCAACATATATACAACATACAACATATGTATATACAACAAAGCTAGGTGAACACAGTACAGCAATATTAACGGGAATAACAATGTCATGTATTTACACACACACACATATATATATATATATATATATATATATATATATATATATATATATATATATATATATGACATTGCACAGGGTTTGGGATAAACACGTTATATCTCAGTAACAGTTTCAAAAAGCAATGAAATATGACTCTTCATCTTCCACACTGGTTTGCCTACACAAGACAGTGAATAAACAATAGGTTGTTTTCTCTCTATGTGTTACACAATGGAGGAACAAATAGTAGACTGGAAACTGTATTTGCACAGCATTAAATGAGTTTAACCTCCAATACTCCTGTATTAATTATGAAGAAAAATGTAAAAACAAACAGAATTACCCAGCCAATTACTGAAGGGCTTTAAAACATGCAAAAGAGACAAAAATATCTGATTAAAAACACCATTTTACACGCCCAAACCCAACCAGGGCTGTCCAGTTTTGACATGCCAGAAATTCAGAAACCCTCATTTTCTGGCAACCCTAACTATTCCCAATTTGCAGCATTAGTAAAGATGTACAGTACTGTGCAAAACTTTGAGGCACAGGATAAAATTTGTTTTGGAAGCTGTTTATTTGGGAAATGAGCGTTATTTGCTCAGAAAAGCACTGATGCTTTTCTTACTGGACTTCCTAAGAAAACAATACATCCCTTAAAACTCGTACAAAACGCAGCAGCATCAACAAAGTCGAAACAGAGAGATCGGAACACTTTAAAAGAGCTGCACTGGCTGTCTGTATCGTTCAGGATAGATTTTAAAGCTCTGCCACTAGTTTTAAAAGCTCTAAACGACCTTAAAGCACTGCTTACATCACAGAGTGTCTGTCTGTTTATGTTCCGGCATGTAATCTAAGATCTGCAGACAGTGGCCTTCTACAGGTACCCTCTGTAAAATACAGGAAACATGGAGAGGCTCTTTCAGTTATTCTGCTTCTAAACTGTGGAGCTCAGTTCACCTTTTATTAGACAGTCAAGCTCAGAGCTCACTTTTAAGAAGCACCTAAAATGTCTCTCTTTAACTCAGCATTTAATTAAAACTCTACATCTCATGGTTTTTATCTTCTAATTTGATCTTTTTCATTTTCTTCTGAATTTAAATAAATATAACTATATTTCTTGTATAACTATGTTTTATCACCTGTCTCTATAGCACTTTGAGCTGCCACCAGCATGAAAAGTGCTATATAAATAAAAATATTATTATTATTATTATTAACATTAGAATAAATACAAATAATATTAGGAAAATAAGCAGTGACTTTATGAATATCAATGTGTTTGTTTAACCATTTTCAGTCAGTTTCCTTAAGAAGTCCATTACAGTCATCATCAATACTACTATCTAATCAATACTTCATTACGTTAAATCAGGCGCTGCTGATGGAACTGAACAAATCAATGTGGGGAGAAATTTGAAACCAAACTTTGTTCTCACAAGATATCAGCTACACTTCTTGTTACTTTTCACCGTATTTATTATGATTATCCATCTATTCTAATAATATATGGTGTCTGTACCAGCAAAAACACACAGGTTGCTCAGATAAACGGTTTTAAATAACATGCTCAGGTGCTAAGACTTTTGCACGGGGCTGTATGCACACCGTACTCACCCACACACATGTTGTCGTGGAGGCTGAACCCCGGCTGACACTGCAAACACTGGTCTCTCTCAGGTCCTCCACATGCCTTGCAGTGTTCAGAGCAGCTGTTCTCGAGGGTCAGCCCGGGCAGGACCAGCGCGAGGCCCAGTAACCATGGCAACCACCAGCGCAACATCGCCCCCTGATTTAAAGCGGTAGTAACAAATCAGTACTACGCAGTCGTCTCCCCTGTATAAACACTAAAGTGCCTGTAAATCAGGGGTGTCCAAACTTTTTCAGAAGGGCCAGACTGGACCTCTCAAAACACCTGAGGGCCAAAATATTATTCACTAATATGAAGCTTTCAAAATATCAGCGATAGAATCTGAGCTGTTTCCTATCACTGTGTAAAAGATGCACAAGGCTTCTTTTATGGTCGGATTGCTCAGCTTTGGATCAGAAAGCGCTTATAACACATAACTAAATTGTAACAATAAAACACGTCTAATGTATTAAATATATTCATATTCAAGTGTTTACGAAAATAAAAACCCATTCTGGCACCTGGGTCATTCTCCATTTGGAGGGGAAACCATGTCACAAAGGTTTCAGGGCTTAAAAAGAAGCTTAAAATATGAATCACAGCTCCAAAAGTCAGGATGTACATTTACACAGTCAACCTAAGATTAAATAACACTTTTCTCTTATGATTCTCTGATTTTTCTTTGTTTATCCTGTTTAACAGTCGCTCTGCATCTGTAAAACAGCTCGTCACAAAACCATTTTCAACAGTTGAGAAACCGATTTTAACATAAAACAATATTTTTAAAGATATTTAACTTCTCATATCATTAAAGTTATAGTACATTTAAAAAATATATATTCTTTTTATTAAAATTTTTTGTTAAAAGATTTTGTTCAGTGGTGTTATCAGGACTCTTATTTTACATTTTAACACAGTATTTTCAGCTCTATTAAACTGCTTCTTTGGGTCGAGGCTCATCAGAGAGGAAGCGTCTCAAGGCATGAGAAGGCGAGTCACACCTGCTCACTATATTTCATTCATTTATTAATCATTTTGTTCATCAGGCAGCTCAAAACTTCTATGTATCACTGGTGTTTTGTGCTTTAATGGCTGGGAAATTAAAATTTTGTCAAAATAATGCCAAATATATCATTTTATCAGCTAACGAGTCCACCAGTTTACAAAATCCTCAGTTTTAACCAGAATGTCACTGGTGTTACACCACATTCATACAACACCAGTGACTGTAAAATATGTTTGGATTGAAGCTCCTTTTTGCATATTTAATAATAGGAGATGTTAATGGACGTATTAAGATTAGTGAAAGAAATCAATTTTTTTACAAATGTATCCACCTGAATTCCGCTCCAAATGGAGAATGACCCAAATACTGGCCTACAGTGGGGTCCAAAAATCTGAGGGCACAAGACAACTTTTAACTTTTGCCTTCTTTTTTATTGCACATAGTGTGTATAATACACTGATAAGTATGGAAGCATGTTTGAATAAGCTCTAATATAAACTTTATTAATTATACTTTCATACAGTCATGATGACCACCAGACCTCTTTGGCAGGCTGCACGTGCAGAACGGACAGCGGGTTTAAACACAGAGATATCTGACCTCAAAACAGCTTCAGCGCGCGCGCACACACACACACACACACACACACACTTACATACACCCACACACACTCACACACACACACAGGAGTCTAATGAAAGCCGCTCAGGCAGAGCGGAGATCCGCTCACACAGCTCAGTCTTACCTGCTCACCGTTCACTCCACGCGCTTAACGCTGTGAACACAAACAAATCTAACTTCACAGCTCACGCGCTGCTTGTCCTGGGCACTCGCTGGGCGGAGCCAAAAGAACGACCAGAGAGCAGCTCGCGCGCCCCTCGTGAACAGCAGCCGTTGTTATTTATAGCTTGGCGCGAGGGGGTTCTGTGATTTGGCTCAAGTAGCTCGAGCTTTCTCAATTCACAATGACTGTTAAAGAGCCTATATCAGCTATAAAATTAATTTTGGTAATGTTTTATTCAGATAGTGCACTTTAGATGTTTTAAAGACACTTAATTTACCTTTAACTTCCATTTCACTAAATATCTACTCTAATTTGGCTAATCTGGCTCTAATTTTAACCCTCAACCCAAAACCTGAACCCAGCCCTAACCCTGGTCCAAATAGACCAGCTTAGACCAGTGTGAATTCCGTGCTGATCTAAGCTGGTCTAAACTGGTTTATGCTGGTCCAGTGCTGGTCAGGGGCTGGTTTAGTTGGTCATCCTGCGTAGCAGCATCCAAAACAGGATATCACTGCTGTCAGAACAAACCTTGTACCTCCAGAAAGGAAACTCTATGGGACAAAGAAAAACGTGCTTAACTTTTAATGGAAGTAAATGGAGAAATCATTTTTGTCCAAGTAATTCTGGACCATTTCTGTCGATCCTTTCATCAAGGAATTTTGACACAACATAAAGGGTAACTGCCTTTTTCAAACTAGGTCAAAAAATGAAAAATGGTACATTTTTGCAGAGGTACAAGGTTTTACCCTGACAGCAGTGATACGCTGGTTTTGCTGGTGACCAGGCCATGCTGGTCTGTTTTTTCTAGCCAGTACAGAACAGCCCTAACCGTACCACTGATTAGAATCAGCTGGGTTTCACCAGACAGACAACAATTTTAACATCTGTGGATCATCTATAGGGGGCTATAGTGGACTATCCAAATGAAGTGACCCAAATTTTTCCCCGACCAAACTTTTACTGACTGACCGACAGACTGACTCCAGTAATATCTGTCTGCAGAGCTGCAGTTTCATGCTAGCAGTTTCACTCCAGCAGGTTCTGGCCGGTGGCACTCAGCACATGCGCCTACATTTGAGTTTTAGGCTCAACATTTCAGTCATTTTATGTGGGTTTCTTGTAAATGTGTGATAAATTTGTGTTGGGTTAACGTTATATTTAAAGCTTTAGGCTAAAACAAACGTTGGTTTGAACACGTATAGAGATTCACAGGGTAAATGTTACACCAACTACAGCTGATGTGGCTCTGGGTAAACTGGGTAAACTAATGGGTTATATAGACATATAGCTCAGTTAACTTACCCTTAATACAGGGCTTTATGTGTTCACTTACATTACATATGCAGGAATAAAACTACCTTAAGCAGCTCAAACTGAGCATAATATTAATCTTTAGGCTAAAACAAACTAGTTTTTGAACGTATCCCTGCTGAAAAAAGCCAGAGAAACCATTAAGTGTTTCTTTTGGTTACTGATGGTTTTGTGATGTGTTTTGGTTTATGGTTTAACCGCTTACCAGTGGCTGATTCATATATTGTCAGCAGTTTCCCTTCCTGAATGATAATCCGCATGGTGACACATACAACCAGCACAAACAGTCGCTGTTTACATCAGAGACGTTATAAATGAGGAGTCTGGCTACTGGTTGAAATATGAATGTGATGCTCGTAATGCCCTACTTTCCTATAAGGACTTTGTTTACATGGCACAGTCTTGCTGTCCTACTGCGCATGCGCTCCACTGGGCTCAAACCGCTGGAGTGAAACTGCCAGTGTAAATCTGTGGCTCTGCGACTGACTGATCGACTGACTGATCGACTGACTTGCGAACTTTGTTTGAACGTGTATCGAGAGGTGTGCAGCTGGCCCTCAGTTGGCCTGCCAAGTGTCATTCATCCAGTAGAAGAAAAAGACGGAGAAGAAGAAGAAAAAGTAACATAACATAACATTAGCTTGTAAGCAGTGTAGCAGGTGCAGCTGCAGAGGACACACAGCTTTAGCTTACCTAACAGTGTGAGGCCAACATCTGACTCTTTCGGCGCTGAGGAGCGGCAAGAGCTCGGGCCCCAAGCTTGAGTGCCAGCTTCTCATGCCACCCAGCGCAAGGTAAGCCAAGTCTAAAGCTGAAGCATTTCATGTGGGTGTGAGTCCTTGCTTGAAATATTATGCTGGGTTGCCGTGAGCTGACAAAGTTTTTTTAAAAATGAAAGTTGAATGTAATCACTGTTCAAGCACCAAACGTACCAATGACTCCCCAGCCCATGTGCTGCATGTATGGAAACCAAAAAAAGCCCATTTTAAATTTACTGTGACGTCACGAAAACAACAATTTACACATATTTGCAGTTGGTCAAACAGATGAGCTGGTTTGAAAGCAGGGTTACTCTTCTTAGGTTAGCTTTCGCTTGGTTGTTAGCTTTTGTTCGGCATGTCTCTCAAACTGAGAGAGACCATGGGGAAACACAGTGCTGTTAAAGCTGTGGAGGACAAAGCACATCAGCCTTGTGGTTGGTGAAGGCAGTACCCCAGACCAGGACTGCCCAGTTTAAACCGTTAACAGAGAGTGTAAACAATTAGAACTGTGCACAATTGCTTCAAAATGACTGTTGACCCTTTTATGTTCAACAGCTAAACTAATTGTGGACAAATGCCACAGAACTTCTTTGCACTGGTCTAAAGTGAAGAAATTTTGTTTTTGTTTCACCTTTTTGATTACATGTAATTTTCATACCTTTGGATTTTTTATTGCTTTGTTAAAAGTCAGTAAAATCAATTGGCCAAAACACTGAGTGCGTATACATGCACTCAATAATCCGATAACTGCAGAAAATAAGATTTTGTCAGTAATCCGATCAACACATTTACATGCACTTGAGTAAACAGATAATGTGGAAACTCCAGGTCTACATGAGTCAGACAGTAATCAGATTTCTGCTTTGCAACCAGCCAATAAACTCACAGAACAACATGTGATGTAAACATAATGTAAAACTCAAACTTCATGCCACGACTGTTTGCCGCGCCGCTCCAAAAGTGTTCTGCTGCATCTCGCGACATCCACCGCATGCGCAAACTGAGAAATCCGAAAGAAATCAGAGTAAGAGTTTACATGCACTGAGAAATCTGATTACTGACCTAAAATCCAGCCTCTTTATCAGATTTCTTAATCGGACTTCTAGATCAGAATATGGTGTTTATGTGACCATTTGAATAATCGGATAACTGCAGAAATCCGATGTATACGCACTCACTGATTTTTATACGATAAAAATAAGTGCTAAAAACTCTGATTAATCTGAACTTCAAATTTGCCCCCAACCAAATTCAGAGGTCAAATGCACCAAAGTAAGTGTACAATTTCAGATGTGGACCTAACAGAGTGCTGAAATGATTCGAAATGACCATTACTTGTGTCTGAATAAAAAAAAAAAGTTCAACAAGCGTTAATTAATTACATGTTTATTAAAGAAACCTGAGGTAAGCATTGATAGAAAATAAAGCCATTTAAATGTTAAACATTTAAAAATTACATATACACATATTCCTGCTGAACAATCCAGTGTACCAAGCAATTTTGTTTATGAAGATGGAAAATATATTAAAGACAATACATATTTATGTAATATTTACATGACACTGAAATTAAAGTATTCCATCTCTCAGAAAAAAAGTGCTTGTGTTCCTCTGCTACATCTGAGACATTTGACCCTGCAATCAGGTTACTGAAGGCACCAGTTACCCATATTAGTAATAATAACTAGTATTAGTACTTACAAGCCAGTGGTGGTCCCAGTGCTATGGAAACCCCCTGTTTAGTAATTTTGCTGCTATAACACACCTGATTTGGCTCATTAAGGGCTCGATCATTATCAGAGGAGTGAACTCTGTGGAGATTGAGAGCTACAGTTTTAAAATAGAGCCTGAGTCCGCAGTGTCATTTTGGCTCAATGCACCATAAAAGCTGCCTTAAGTTCTCCACTTTGGGAGAAGTTCAAACTAAAGTCCATTATTTCCTTTGTATTAACCCAATAACTGCATGGATGTGACCCAAAATTGGTGGACAGACACTTGGACATATTACCATCAAGGCAGAATCTTTATTTCAGTGTTAAATCTGACTTTTTTCCAGTTTGACTCAAAGCAAACCGGGTTCTGGACGTCAGTGCTGGAGGCTGTAAACCAGACAGTCTGAACCATTAGTGCTGGCTGTGGAGTGCAGTCATATGCAAACTCACTGAGGTCTGACTGGACATGTTTGGGCGGATCACTAGCTGCGATTTCCAGGTAAACAAAGCACCTGGACGGACAGTGTCACTGAGCTGGAATCTGAGAAGGAGTGAGTGTTTCAGATACTGTAATAACAGACAATCATTTCTTTCCAGAGAAAAAATAATCACAGCCACGGGAGTGGTTGCCTCCTTCCTTCATATGTCGTGCACACAGTGAGTCAGACTTCATTTAGTTTCTAAAGCAAACTTGTGCCAGATACAGACTAGGGATGGGCACTGTTATTCAAATTTATCCAAATGTACTTCAGTATTAGTTTACACAGTCTGGTACACAAATAAGGCAAATAAGGCTCTTGTAAAATTTAAATACATTTTTGACTGGGTGTGCAATGTGGAAGTGCAGAGAATGGCCTCTTTTCCACTGTAGGGCTGAACAGTTTTAGCTGAACTAGCCAACTGTGCTCAGGACTGGGTGGAATAACTTTAAGGACGTAGCTATTCACTGTTGGTTCCATGTTCACATTGCTTTTGTGATGGTTATCATGGATTATTAAAACCAATCAAATAAAAGGTTCAGTTTGCTTAAATAAAAATAAACTAATGCAGTGCACGATTTTCAATTTTTTCTGTAAATGTCAAACCACCAATCTCACAACAATTGCTAAGTGTTAAATGGTGCTGCAAAGAGAAACTTATGAGCTTATCTAGCATGCTAAATACTCTGCTCACCACAGAACTCTGGCTAACTGAAGCACCACTGACACAACTAGCATGATAATGACACAAATCTGAGGGAGAAATGTAGAGAAACTGATGTTGAGAGTGACAGAAAGCCGAATACGAACGTGTTCTGTGGAGTTTGGAGCTGTAGTGTGTTAGCTAAGCTAACAATAGCTTAGTTAGCAGGCTAAAAGCTCCACACACCACAGTACAGGCTCAGTTCTCGCTAACTGGTGCTCTGCTGCTACAAGCTTAGACAACAAAAACTCAAGTCTGAGAGAGGCAAATCGAGAGACTGGCGTTTGGGATGAGAGCTGAAATCGAATGCTCACTATGGTGTTAGCCTTTTAGCTGAACCTCTATTGTGAACAGTTTTTCTTTGGTATTTCCTGATCTTGATTTAGCATCTGAGCCAGAAAGGAAGGCCATGGGAACCATTTAGCCCTGCATTGGAAAGGAGGCCACACTTTTATGCAAAGCACAGTGATAAACCGTGTTTCAAACTGAAAGACGCTAAATCTGTACAGGGTAAATTTGAGAGTTTTATAAGTTAAAGACATTAAAAATATCCTCTTAAGCTACACACAGGAAGCAAATGATAAACCTTCTTTGTTTCTGATTTTTATTTAAAACAACATACAATACTTTTTTGTTGGGATATTTAAATACTGTTCTTTTTTTAAAATGTGGATATGTGAATTGAGAGTGTGATTAAAATGCCCATCCCTAATCCAGACCACACTGTAGAACGGTTAGCTAGTTTTATCCGTGCTGGGCTCCATGAGGTAAAGTTACATATGCAGAGGGAGTGTCTCCTCCTCCAGAATCTCCACCTGTGTCAGCACGGGTTTTGCGTGTGGCCGCAGTCTTTCCCCAGAATTTTTCAGCCCCTTTGTCAGCTTCCTGGAGGCCCTCCTGAGCCAGAGCAGCCTCTTTATCCGCATGCTAAAGCTCTCCGGCCGCTCTGGGCAGAGCTCCGCCAGCAGCTGACGACTCTCTGAAGGCAGATTGTAGAGCTCTAGGCCTTGGAACAGAATCGGCATGACTTTCCCTCCATTTACGAGTTTCTGAGAGTCAAAGTGCACCAGAACGAAGCGCTCAGCGGCGCCGCCTTTCAGGTGAGCAGAGAAAACGCAGCTGAGGGCAGAACCGAAGACGTCTGAAAAGCATGGCGAGGGTTTGTCCCATGCTGTCTGGTCCTTCTTCGCCCCTTCTGGTCCTGCTTTCTTCTCCCCTATCCAGCTGTCCCAGCAGGCCTGAGCTGTGTCCAGGGCGGAGCCGGACAGCACCAGCAGGGCTTTACCTCTGCGTCTCTGCAGCAGGCTGAGTTTAGAGTGCAGCCACGGTCCCGGACCCAGAGTGCTCAGCTCGGCCTGACTCCACAGATCCAGCGACACCCCGAAACCCAGCTGAGATAACTCCGCCCCCAACTGGCACACCAGACCAGCCTCGACCACATCAGCACCAGACGCATGCAGGAGCAACACCTCACTACAGGCTTCTACAGAGAGAGAGAGAGAGAGAGAGAGAGAGAGAGAGAGAGAGAGAGAGAGAGAGAGAGAGGGAGGGAGGAAAAGAAACAAAGAGTACAAAAACAAGAAAAATTTAAAACAGGAACAGAGAAAACAAGACAAAAACATGAAAAATTGATGAATAAAAGAAGCAAAAAAAGTTAAGATAAACAGGAGAAGAAAGAGAAGAATAGAGCAAAAGAAGCAATAAAAAAGAGGGAAAGAAAGGATATAAATGAGGGGAAGATAAAAGAGAAAATAAAAGAGAATAACAGAGGGGAAGAAACAAAAAAGACAAAGAAAGAAAGAAAAAAGAAAAAGAAAGAAAGAAAGAAAAAGAGGAAACAGAAAAAAGGAGAAAAAAAGAAAGGAAAGGAAATGAGAAAGAAAGAAAGAAAGAAAGAAAGAAAGAAACAAACAAACAAACAAACAAAGAGAAAAACAGGAAATAGAAAAAATTATAAAAAGAAAGGAAAATGAGAGAAAAGACAAGAAACAACGACAGAAAAGGAGAGAAATAACAAAAAAGAAGAGAAGCAAGGACAGAAAAGGAAAGAAAGCGAGAGAGAGAGAGATAAAGAGAGAGAGATAAAGAGAGAGAGAGAGAGAGAGAGAGAGAGAGAGGGGAAGAAAGAGGGATGAATTTGTGAAGTGAGATTATCTGAATGCACTGTTGGTCGTTATATACAGACAGAAACGTGTGTGTTTTCCTGAATGGTGGAGTTTTAGTGAACGTGACTGTGTGAGCGTCGTACCTGCAGAGCAGTGAGATCTCTCCCAGTCTGAGACACAGCCTGTCACACAGAGACACACAGAGACACACAGAGACACACAGAGACACATCAGACCCACCGATTCACTGCACAATCAGACCTTATATTTCACTCAGTGAGGACAATCCACACAGAGACGGTCACACAGTCAGACAGAGAGAGAGGTTTGTACTACAGTAATAGGAGTAAATGGAGGGGCACATCAATGGATTCACTGAGACCCCCCCCCTCCCCTCTGCTGAAGAACCCAGATTGCTTAATACTAAACAATGAACTCCACTCTCTCTTCACAGCTCAGTATCTGACTGCTCAATCTGTTCTGCGAAGGGCTGGAATCTATGACTTTACTGTGCGTTATGAAACAGATCTGTTCTGTTGTGGTGAAATACTTCATATACAGACAGTCGTGTAATGATTCACAGAGTTCATACTGCAGTTCAATACGACTCCTGAAAACGCGCCTTAAGTCAAACCGTCAATGTTTCCTTTTTCAGTTTATATATTACAATATTAGAGCCCTATTCAGATTGGATTAGTTTTACATGGGGAGGTGGGGTAATGTCATTTTTCCTGGCGTTTCTCTCCGATTTTATTCCCGTCTGAACGTCAGTCATTTTTACAGACTTCTACAAAAGTGTTTCTGTTGGTTCCTGATTGTTTTCAACATTCGCGCCGCCTCCCGACGCAGGAAATCGCCAGCTCTCATTGACAATGAATGACCTCCGGCTGCTTTGTCACATTGCGTCGCTGCCAGTGTGAATGCAGGGTTATGGTTTCTAATAGTCCTTTTTCGGCAGGGTATTAATCCTGCGCGAATGGACATGTTGATAAAAACACTATTGTATTCTGTGGAAATGGAGTCTCTAAAGCATGAAGGCTTCAAGAAGCGTTTACCTGCGTTCTCTGTGGCTAAAATCAAGCAGATATGTAATGTTACGGTCCAGAACATGCAAAAATTACAGAAAAATGTTTGATTTTATGCAGTGAAGTTGACTGTTTGCTGTGCTAATGGTGCACTGCATTCACTTAATACAGCAAAGTAATTGAAATAATGGCTAAATTAAATGTTTTAGAATCTTTTTTACTCTTTTCTGGAGTGAAGGTGGTGTGCAACTTGAGTAGCTGCTCCCATCTCTGTCGTTTATACTGAGACTTCTTATCCTGTGGTAAACTGTAATTACTCACCTTCACCACAGAAAACTATTCCCGTCTAAAACAGGGCTTAGGAACGACGCAGTGGAGTTCAGCCTAACCCATTCAGACAGGCTCTCAGCAGTTCTGAACAACCCCTGTGCTTTATAGAGCCTCAATCAATACGTAATAAAGAGATATTAATAAAGCAATATGTTTCACTGTCGCACCATAAACACACACATGATCGCAGAAAGTTAATGTGTAAAGTATTAATGCAGTTATTAAAATCATTCTGTGGTATGGCGTAATCTCTGACTGTTACGTTGCTTGGCAACAACAGCCTACTGTAAACATGTTACTTCAGCTCTGCTACGTCCTTTTTGAAGTTAAAATATCAAATCTTTCTTCACTGCCATTATAGAAAAAAACACATGAATTCCACATGTGAATAAACACGAGGTTTTTAAACGTTATTTTTCACATACATGTGAAAAAAATGTGTGATCACATTTCATGGCATGGCATTCTTCACTTATTATTCACAAGATGACAAATGTGTTCATTACATGTGGTTTTCAGAGCCACTTTAAATATGTGTGACTTTTTTGTAATAGACTGCATTAAATATAACTGGACCCCAATCATACATTTTAATTAAAAAAAAATCTATTTCTGCTTAAGGCATTTGTGTGTTTTTGTGTGCCAAAAAAGGAAAAATTCTTTTTACATAATCATTTTCATCTTTATCATTTAGAACTAAACAAGCTGTTCTATTACTGTGCCTGAATAGGTGGATATATGTAAATGCACTGTTTTTTGTGATCTCACAAAAACAACTGATTGAAAAAAAATTATATTATATTTATTTATGAAAAAGAACATGGGACATGCACTGACATGACAAATATCAAATTATTCAACAATACATCCTCATTGTCAAATCATTTTTTCTGCACCCATATAAAATTAATTTTAGTTTCTTTTTGCCTCCAAAAGTCTAAAAATGTCAGGCAGTACAACCATCCAACAATAAATACTGACTAAGTAAACTATCAACAACGGTAATTAATGTAGTACGGTAAGTAAAATGGTCTGGCATGATTTTATGTTTGAAAACTTTAAAATAAAAACCATGTCACAAAGTAAGACAACTTTAAAAGTGCTCAACTCACTGAAAAACTTTTGTCCGCAAGTTCATACTTGCACAAAGCAGCGCTCTGCTACTGACGCTATGTTACGCTAAGTGACGCGGCACATCCGGTGTGCAGTGGCCTTTTTATACCTAAACTGCTGTAGGCTAAACAGATGGATATATATAAATGTGTCAGTTTGTGTGACATCACAAAAAAGATGACTTCTAAACGAGCTGTTTTTGCAGCTCAGTTTGTATATATGGAGTGTATGTACTGTGAAGTGAAGGTATGTTTTGAAAACTTCAACAACATTTCCATACTAGATCAAACTCTTTTTATTAAAAAAGTGAGGAAGATTCAGTTTTCCATGATATGGAGCCTTTAAGAGGTGAGTGGCGCAACTGTCTATGGATTCTCCGCATTACCAGGAAACTATGAGCTTGAACCCGGCGATGCTACAGTCACCCGCGACTGATCGAAGAGGAGGAAACACATCAGCCGCCCAGAGCTACCTAAGTGAGATGTTCTACTAAAAATGTGAGTTAGGAGAACCTGACTTGACCTTCACAGTGATATTGCTGTATGATATCTGAACATGACTCTCTAATTAGAGAGGTTTTCAAATGATCCAGTGAATCCAGTAAACCACCCTCACCATGACTGAAGCATTACTCCTTTTTCCTTAACAATATTTCTGCAAATAATGAGTGAACGAGTGATGGTTTGATGAAAAACAGGGGGACTGACCTCTGAGTCGGCTCCTGAGGAAACACACTGCGACCCCAACCAGGCTGAGAAACAGCAGCGTCGCGAGTATAGGCACACTCCAGTGCTGCCTGTGGGCTACAGGACACATCACAGAGGAAGATAAAGCAACTGAAGCAAGATTTCATAACTGCAGACAGAAACAGCATTGCTACAGCCGTGTGCAAAAGTTGGGCACCCCTGTCAAATTCCATGTTGCTGTTGATTTTATAAAAAAGCAAATAAGTGAACACATCCTCTACAGAGAACACACTCCTGCACCTTTTAATGCACAATTACTGTTTATTTACTGAACTTAACATATTTAAATACACAAAATGTGGCCTGTGCAAAAGTTATGGCACATTTTCTATTCTTTTTTTGTTCCCCCGATACGTTAACAAGAGCAAAAAAGTAGAAATTGTTCACTAAGATTTGCAGAAAATGTCATATTGAAATGTGCTCCCTGCAGAGGATGTATTGACAAATCATGCCATTTGACTGATGGGTGTCAAACTTTTGCATACAACTGTATGTTTATGTGACAAGATTTTACTCCAGGTAATTTTGGACCATTTCTGTTGGTTCATTCATGATGTAATATTCACACAATGTAAAGGACGGCTGCTGTTTAAAAAAACAACAACAAAAAAGAGAGAATAAGGCCCAGTCCCATTTCTTCTTTTTACCCCTACCCCTTGTTTTTGAGTGTCTCCTTGCCCCCTTGGAACTGACTTACAGGGTAGTGGTTGAAATCTTCCCTCTGAAATGGGACCCTCAAATAAAAAGAGCATCACTTCATTAACAGCTACCAGCGCTGCTCTGTAGGCGACCCTGCCAGTCTGCAGTGACAGCAGAGGAGGGTAAAGTTCAGCTCCTCACTGCTGGGCTTTAGTTACACTTAGGGCATCATATGCCTTCAAAGAGGGGAGCAATTATTTATTATCGCCCACCACTAATTCTTCAGTGATATGAAGCTGAAGTCAGATATTCGCCAGCTTCTTGTTTGAATTTTTCCATTCCACCTTAAATGCAGCAGCAGTTACATTCTGGCGGTTCAGGCGTCAGAACTGCTGGTATATTTAAGGTGGAACAGGAAAGTTAGCCAGCTAGCTACCGAGAAGTTAGCATATTACTAGTGATTTTTTTATGCTTGTTATGAAGAAAACGACCATAATACATTGAAACGACATTAAACTAAGATAATTAAATGGTTTTAATTATTAAATGGTATCGTAATTTTTTAACAGAGAAAATTCTCTGTTAAATTTGTGGGTCTCTTTGGTCTCTTGTGCTCCATCTTGCCGTTTTTTTTTTTCTCCTCATAACACTCCGTTTGGAGTCTCTGAATAACCTCCATTTGGAGGGTCATGTAGCCCTAACACTTTGCCCCACCCCTCTATCTCAACAAACATCGTGACACCCTACCCCTAGTCACGGAGGGCTAAGTGGTAGAGGCGAGGAGTGAAATGGGATTGGGCCTTCCATGGTTTTGAAGCTACAACAACAAAGGTATCACTAGCTGGCATTAAATTTAACTAAACTGAGTCATACTATTAAATATCAAGAAGTACTGAACAAAATGCAAAGCAAGGTGAAGGTTCAACAATCGACTGAAATATTCCTATAAATACACAACTCAGGTTACAAACAATCCCTCTAATCAACTTGAGAAGACAATGGAACAAATCCAGGGCAAATAGAAGTGAAACACTCACTGTCATGTTGACACAGAGGGCCAAATATTTTTCCATCCACCTCAAACTGCAAGAACACAAACACAGCATTTATACAGAATCTATTGTGTTTGCACAGAGAACAGTACGGCACACTGAACAAATGCATTATGGGAAAGAGTAAATGCTATACCATCACACAGTGCAGGAAGCGGTTCTTAGAGCCGATGTCCACAAACGACCCGGTTGTCTGTAAATGGTGAGAGAGACGCTCAGCTGAGTCAATAACATGTCAGCACAAACTGACAGCTTACAGTAACTGTGCTGTTTAAGGGCCACACCGCATTTCTGTGGTTACAATCATCCAGTCTGTGTCTAAACCTGCACTCCTCCTCCCTGTAGCCAAGCCTTAGTCATACATACCCAGGTCTAATGTATCTGCGTCAATCACACAACCACTGACAAGACACTTTTTGTGTTCATTAATTTCCTATCATACAACGTAACAGTGAGGTCTGATTATAAGGTTTGTGTGGTTTTATGTACCAAAAATGTTTTTTATTCATCTTTACATGATCATTTTTTTAATCTCTCCTTATGCCTTAGAATTAAACAGGCTGTTTTTGTTACTGTGCCTTCAAGACTGATTTATGTAAATACTCTCTGCTCTGATTGGCTGCCCTGTATTTTGCCTCATTCAATCAATCCAGCTTGAAACACTCTAACAATCTTCAGTGTGAGTGGGTGGAGCCAAACTGTTGTAGGATGAAAGGGCAGACATATGTAAATGTGTTGGTTTTTGTGACATCACAAAAAAACATCAATTAAAAACAAGCTGCTTTTGCAGTTTGTTTTCCATATATGAACTGTGGACTGGGGAAGGAATGACTTTTTATGATTTACGACGCATTAAACTATTAAAAAGGGCAATTAAACGTATAATATTCTAAATAAAATTGTTTGGCATGAATCTTTTAAAGTCATAATCCTGCAAAACAGCTTTAAAAATGATACATCTCATTGCAATAACTCCTGTCCACCAGGGACTTTTATTATGACAGCAGTGGACTTCTATTCTTACATGCTTTTAAGAAAGAGTGTTTTGAGTCATTCTTAAGCTGATTCGGTTTACCACGTCATGTGGTGCGACCCCAAGAGAATCATGAAAATGTGAATAACAAAATAATGTTTATTTATTTGAAAAAAAAAAATCATGTATAAAGGTCTCGGGGATTAATGGGGGTCCAAGTGCAAAGACTAGTTTATACCCGTTTTCAGGAGCGTAAATAACTGCCAAATATACAGGCTAATATGTTTATTTATGTCTGTCTGCGCTACTTTTTCTGACTTTTTCTATCAAAAAACGAAAAAAGAAATGAAAGGTACAGAACCTAAATGTAATAATTATGTAGTATTTCCGTAATTGATTATGTAATTAATGTGAGCTCCTGTAACCAAAAGCACATTCCTTGTATGTGAAAGCATACCTGGCCAATAAAGCTTGATTCTGATTATGTGAGGTTGTAATTCACTCTGCCCTCCTAAAGCTTACACTCAAAGTTCTGATTTCAGTTTTGTTTCTGTACGCTATTTACTGTACTCACCCACAGTGTGGCGCTGTCCTCCCACCACTGAGAGCTCTCGTTATGCTGGACTCTGAACCCAGGCACCTCACTGCAGCCCTGTCCTGACCCAGCGCCCATTCGGCACGGCCACACTTCAGCCTCCAGCCTGCAGGGGGCGGTGAGGTTCCAGCTCAACACTGGACGCCCTTCGTTTGTCTTAGAGTGCCCCACTGAGAGGAACATGTTCCTCAGCACGTTCTCTCTGAACTCTGCGTGGGAAAGAAATGCAGAGTAATAAAATGCACCACCGCTCAGAAGATGAATGTTTGTCATTCTTAAAATAAATGTGCGTTTTTCATTGTAATAACTTCCAGCTGCTGGGCATTGATCAGTGTAATAACATAGTTATGCATTTTTTTTACTGTAATAGTATGCTATTATGCATTCTTGCTGTAATAACATGCTGTTGCAGTACATTTTGTAATATGTAATAACATTGTAATAACTAATAATAGTGTGCACTGTAATAACACTCAGAAGGCTTGAAATGTTACACGACTGCAGCCAAGAAATGTAATCTGATACTTCACAGGTGTAATCCAGTCAGATTACTCCTGGATTACTTGGGCTCCATCTGAGCGAAACATTTTCCCTCCATAAATCTAATAATCAAATGCTGACAATTCAATCTTATGGTTTGATATTTGAATCATGTTCACAGACAAGGCTCTAATTCAATCTATCTCCCGAAACCCTTCAGAATAACTGTAGTTGCCATGGCAACGCTGCTAATATGCAGTTAATGGGCACATTCAGTAAAGTTACAAATTAACAAACCGGTTTACTGATGTTGCCTAATTAAGCGCCTAAGCAAGTAGGTCAATATGTTTATCTGGACAATGCTTGTGTTTCTTTGTATCATTAGAATAAACACAAACATTAATGCAGGAAAAAACAACAAAAAAGCGTTTGATATCTGTTCAGCTGGTTTAAAATTTCTGTAGATTTGTTCAATTCCATCAGCAGCCCACCTGATTGATAGTCTAGATAAACTAGGTTTTGGATGGAAACTGTAAATACTGATCTTTCTTGAGGAGAGCTTTGGAAACGGCTAAACAAAAACAGTGATATGTATAAATTCAACACTTATTGTATTAATTTTATTTGTATTTATTCTAATATTGGTGTTTTTAAACAGCTTTTTAAATATAATTGGCCTTTGCATGGTACTGCCTATTCTTCTTCTTTTGTAAATACATAATCCAGATTACAAATATTTGGTTATTAGTCACGGCAAGAAAAAATGAGCATGAAGTTGTGTTTGCAGCTGGCTAATGAGTCAGCACAGAGCCACTTCACTGAAATAACCATTAAAACCACTAAGAAAAAAATCCACATTTAGTTAAAAAACACTAGTGATATTTGAACGCATGTCTATTAGAGATGAACAGTGATACACAATATGGACAAAAGTATTGGGACAACTACACATCACACCTTCAGGAGCTTTTATGAACCCATTTTAAATCCATAGGCATTAATATGGAGTTGGTCCCCCTTTACAGCTCTAACAGCTTCCACTCTTCTGGGAATCTTTCTACAAGATGTCGGAGAGGGTCTGTGGGAATTTCTGCCCATTCATCCAGAAGAGCATTTGTGATGTCAGACACCGATGTTGGGCGAGAGGTCCTGGCTCACGATCTCCGTTCTAGTTCATCCCAAAGGTGTTGGATGGGGTTGAGGTCAGGGCTCTGTGAGGGCCAGTCAAGTTCTTCCACACCAAACTCACCCAGTCAGGCCTTTATGGAGCTGCTTTGTGCACTGGGGCTCAGTCATGCTGGAACAGATAAGGCTCTTCCCAAAACTTTTCCCACAAATTTCAATGATATAGTTGTTCAAAAGCATTAAGATTTCCCTTCACTGGAACTAAGGGTTCTAGACCAACCCCTGAAAAACAGCCCCATATCATCATCCCTCCTCCACCAAACTTTACAGCTGGCACAGTGCAGTCAGGCAGGTAACGTACTCGTCCATCAGACTGACAGAAGCTGATTCGTCACTCCACAGAATACGTTTCCACTGTTCCAGAGTCCAGTGGTGGCGCTTTACACCACGCCAAGCCTCTCCCAATTAGGAGAGGTGTCCCAGTAATTTTGTCTATATATTGTACCATCAAAATGTAACCAGTATCGGCAGATATTTGCGTAAAAAATGTATTGTCATTGGACAGATATTTCAAACTGGTATGTGATGATCTATTTATTGAACTGTGGAAGAGCAGGGTGTTTACTGGACGCTGGGTTACTGCATTAAACAATCTGCACTTCATTAACTTTACTGCATTTGTAATATCAGCATCATCCCACAATTCCCAAGAGACGGGTATTACCTTCTTTTTCAGTAAAAGGGCAAAATGTAGAACGACATGATGATCCTTCCATCCAAACCTGACAAACACAGACAGACAGACAGACGGACAGATGGACAGACGGACAGAGAGGTCACATACAAGTAAAACACTGAATATCAAATAAAAGTCCAATTCCAATAATAAATAATAATAATCAATAAACGATGCAACACATTAGATTGTGATGAGGCTGTTTAAAATCAAGTACCTCAAAACACATGCAGGGGGTGACCGCGTGCAGCGGAACGGACGATGAGGATTGCTGGGGAGAACAAAGTCAAAAAGTCAAAAGACAGTTTAAAACGTTAACAAAACACACAAACACACACTCTTTATATTTGCTTTGCTCCACTTTGTTGTCGCTCTGATTACGGACTGTGATAAAGCCCACCTAAGTCATTGCTTCAGGGCTGGGAAAGCTCAGCTAAACTGTGAAACTCCTTAGTCCGTGAAGAAAAGCATGACCAAACAAACAGATCTCCTACCAGACACAGTCCCTTCTCTCCTCGCTTCACGCACATCTGCAGCAGCTGGAACTGACCCGCATCCTCGTCAGCCACCGTTAGATTAACCACGCCCCTCTGCTCGTCAGTCACCGGAATGACTCTGGGAGCTGAACGACACGTCACACCACAACAAACGGTCAGTACCTTTTTCTTTTTGACTCAATATTTCCAAACAAAACACAAACAAATTTGCATACAATAAATTAAGTATATAAATACTTAATAAATTAAGTATTCATATTAATATATGAAGGCTATTATTATGACAACAATGATCCTTCTGTCCAATAATCCGTCTAAATAAGAACCTGTCTCACTTTCCTCTACACAGTGCACATATGCACTTTAACTAACTGCAGCATATATATTTTATAAATATGCTTACATTTTTATTAGCTGTTCAATTATTTTACCTGTACATAGTGTATATATGTAATTCAGTACTTCACACATTTTTAATTTCACATTATTTGTGTACTGTCTATAATGTGTGTGTGTGTGTGTGTGTATTATACATAAGTATATATATATAAATATATATATATATATATATATATATATATATATATACAAAATATGATATATATATATATATATAAATAAATAAATTTGCCCTGCGATGGACTGGCGACCTGTCCAGGGTGTATCCTGCCTTCCACCCAATGACAGCTGGGATAGGCTCCAGCACCCCACCGCGACCCAGAAGGATAAGCGGTTTAGATGATGTATGTATGTATGTATGTATGTAAATACATTGAATATGATTATAATATGAATATAAAATTAGAAATAATAGAATATAATAGAAATTCTGTGTACATCTGAGACTTGCTGAATTAAGATTCTAATAACGATAACTTTCTGAGTGCTATTAGCAGCTACAGGACTTTTTTTTCTATTTTTACAACAGCTCCACTCCAACTCCTGCTGCCGTTCATGTTTACATTTTATTAAGAGAGACTAATAGAAATGGACTATTATTACTTATTATTTTATTAATAATCTTAATAAAACCAAATCTTGTCTTTATTCCCCTATAAAATTACCATTTCGGAGATACAGCACTGTGTGAAAATCAAGGCAAAGAAAATTGTTTTAAACTATTATTATTTAATTACTATAATTCTGCCAGGAAGTGGTCGCAACACCAGGGCTGTTGTTTTGAACGGGCATGGAAATTTGCAAATGGGCTGGACCGCAGGAGGGATTTCGATTGGTCGATATCAAAAATGGAATTTGAAACAGGTCATATTTAACAGGTGTGTTTTCGTTTGTGTATTTGGTTTATTTATTCATAATATTTTAATACAGATGGTTAATCTGAGTCATTTTGGGTGGGCTAGTGACAGAAGTGGGTGGGCCTAAGGCCTGTTACGCCCACTCATACTGCAGCCCCTGGCAGTTAATGTGTTTTTGCCGGAAAAAAAAACACTAGACAACATTAGAATAAACACAAACATACATACAGCAGTCAACGGTCAGAATGTGTTGTTTTCAGAAAATCCTGGTTAGAAGAACTCCTGACTTCTCACTGCACTTCAGCCAGCACATGGATTTATATTGGTGTTTACTGTATTGTCAATGTTGTTTTTAGAAACATATTAATGCCTTTTGACCAGGTACACAGCTGTACAGATCCTTTCTCTCAGAGGCCTTTTGCATAGTGCTGTTTATCAGGTTTCAAATGGAGAAGTTAAGGCTGGACCTATCAGTACTGCAGTATCGATCTGCTCGTCTCCGCCAGTTAAAGAAAAACTAATTAACTCACAACTTCTGCAGTTTTTTGCTGTTTCTCAGTTCCTCTTTGTTCCTGTCTGATTTTCTAGAACAGTGTTAAGTAGTTTTAACTTATTGTATAACATCTTTTATTGTAGATTCAGCACTGAAATCTATTTTAAGACTGCAATCAATCTTCTGCTTCAGCTCACAGACACGAAGACTCATCTACATAAGAGGAAACATTAACCTGCTTCCTGCTGAGGCTGAATAAAGAGCAGAGCTGGAATCAAACACACAGTTTAGAGTTACAGAAGCAGAGGAATCAAATACTCACTTCTGCATTCTTCACATTCTTCTACCTCTGCAGATGGACACACTGTCAACAGAGAGCAGAGCACACTTTACACTGCAGGTCTGCCGTATGGACACAACTGAGTGATGAGTCAAGTTAAATCATACATGCATAAAACATAAAGATAAATTACTAAATCAGCCTAACATGTAAAGAGAAACTACTCAATCAACACAAAACACAAAGATGACCCACTAAATCAGCCTAAAACATAACAAGAAACAACCAAATCAACCTACAAAAGCCATGATACATCACTAAATCAATCTAAAGTGCAAAGAGAAACCACTAAATTTGGACTAAAACGTTAAGAGAAATCACTAAATTAGCCTGAAACCCAAAGAGACGCTGCTAATTCAACCCAAAACACAAAGAGAAACTGCTACATCAGCCTAAAATGTAAAGAGAAACTGCTAACTCAGCCTAAAACACGAAGAAAAGCCAATAAAACTTGGCCTAAAACGCAAAAAGAAATTGCTAAATCAGCATAAAACACAATGAGAAATCACTAAATCAGCTGAAGACCCAAACACAAGCTGCTAATTTAGCTTAAGACGCAACAAGAAATTGCTAATTCAGCCTGAAATGCAAAAATCGCTAAAATAACCTAAAACATTAAGAACAGCTGCCAATTCAGTCTAAAATAGAAGAGAAGATAGAAACTGCTAAATTGGCTTAAAAACGCAGAAAAATCGCTAAATCAACCTAAAAACACAAAAAGAAACCACTAAATCAACCTACAAGGCCATGATACATCACTAACTCAATCTGAAACACAAAGAAAAAACACTAAATAGGCCTAAAACGCAAAGAGAAGCTGCCAATTTGACTTAAAATGCAAGAAGAAATTGCTGAATTAGCCTAAAACTCAAAGAGAAGCTGCTAATTCAGCCGAAAACACAGAGAAATCAACGTCTCAGCTGATAACACAAACGGCTAAAAGCCTAAAACATAAAGACAAATTACTAAATCAACCTAAAACACAGAGTTCAGTCACTGTGTGTGGTTTAGGTGTAACTCCGCACCCACTGCGTCCCCTCAGGGCTCTACAGCTTTCTCCAAGAACACCTCTGCAATGTTCTTAAAGAAAACAGAGGCTGTCAGAAAGGAACTGACACCTCAATTACAGAGGACTTCACTCTGAAGGAAGCTGAAGGACTTTGCCCGGCACTTCACAAACAGCAGTCTTATCAGCGAGGATCAAACCCATGGCTTTCCGTTTCAGAGCGTCTGATAAGCCGGATCCACGTCACCCAGGCATGTCTGGAACGGCTGAAATGCAGCCCTACCTTCTCTCCGCGGGGGGAACGTGGCCGAGCGGTTGAAGGAGCGGACCCTCACGTTCACAGAGCTGCCCAGGAACACACCCTCGTACTCCACCACCGTCAGCTAGAGGACAACACACACAGAGTTACAGCACAAATACAGCCACACAGAGCTTCAGAGAGCAGCTACACGCTGACAGTGCATACAGTTTAATGTATAATAACGTATAATAACTACTAATGTTATTACTTTAAGGCATTAAAAGCCAAAAATTCCTTGTAGCTGTCGCATTCTATCATCTAACACAACTTTTGATACATATGATCAAGCGATTTTACCATTTTGCAATACTCAATAAATGTTACTGCATAATAAATTATTTACATAATGGTTTATATTATGATTTGCAGGTTTGTCTGTGTTTTTTCCATTTGTTTACATACTAAAAATGTACAAAATGTGGCAAAAATTTAAAGCATACATACAATACATTTTTGCAAAACAAGACTGCACACACAACAATAACTTTTCATTCAATTCAAATCATAATAAATCCTGTTTTCTGGACTGGTCATCTTCCCCATACTGAGCTGGATTAGCATGTCGTCTCTGCTTTGCTTACTGCTGTGATCACCATCATTATGAATTTCACTTGTTTTGCAGATTTATTAGCTTAGATTTATTTAATTAGCTATTAGATTTAAGTTCACCCATATCAGGTTACACTACCTGCTGAATGCTGATAAATAATGAATGGCCATGACTTATGAGGCTCAGGCATGGGAATAATATAATTAAGCCTTGACCCCAGCTTAATAAGGCATGATCTCGTACCCATGCCTTACTGCGTGGCCACAAATTAATAAGGTGTGGGAATGGGATAATTAAGCCAACGCATTATTTTTATTAATATGGAATGTCACCCGCAGGGCTCCGTAGATATCAGACCAGACTGATGATTAAAATGTGAATTCCACAAATGTTTCAATATCTCTTCATTATTAAATGGTTAAGATGTAAACAGAGTCTTTCAGAGTGGTTTGGTGTGAAACGCTCAGTTCTAGAGAAACTTACCGAGTCAGAACTGTTCACAGTGGTGGTGATAGGAACCAGACGTCCACCTCTAAAAGCTCCCTCACAGAAAGTTACATCATGAAATGGTAATGAGTTCACTGCCTGTTGACTGAGACACTGTTTTCCGATAGTTTTGGGAAGCTTTTGGTTTAAAATATATATTTTAAAATCCATTCATGGTGGAGGGATACATACAGCGTGTTGTGAGGCAAAATAGTTCCCAAAGAAAAGATTTTCTTCTATTTTCCATCATCAACATTCCATATAAACTCAGAAGACTTGTGTAGGTTCACTGGTGGTTTTGCATAGTAAATAAAATGGCTATATTTGTGTTGTAAACAACTGTGAATGAATCTGTTTACATTTCAGTGACTAAATCATGCAGAATTGTCCTTTAACTGGGTATAAATTCTGGTGTGAAACACAGCAGGGTGAGCCTGATTAAGGTCGCACGCAATTTACGCTAAAAAAGACGGCCTCAGGACGTTATTAAAGTTGTTACCACTTGCCATTTGCGCAACATGCTTATTGACAGGCTTCCTGATTGGTTTGCCTCATAAAGAGCATTTCACACGTAGGCTAATAAACACAGACGTCTATTACTCATGCAATTATATTATTCCCTGAATTACTCATTGCATATGAGATATTCCTTTATTAGTCCCACATCTGGGGAAATTCATAGTGCTACAGCTGCATAGACAATATATATAAGACTAAAGATAAAAAATAAACTCTGTCCAAAATCAACATTATAAACAATATAAATAGAAAGGCAAAAAATCTTTACACTATAAGAATATTTTAAACATTTTTATAAGAATATTTAAGAAAATTGCTCACCTCTCCATGACTTAAAGGGCTTGTTTCATTGAAAACCACTTTATTTAAGGGACCATTCTCTTCATTTTGTACATTTGTGTATATTCTATAACCATTTTCCAACCTTTCTGTATCCCTAAGAAATGAACAGGCTGTTTTTGTTACTCTGCCTTTAAGACTGACGTATGCAAATGAGCTGTTCTGATTGGCCGCTGTGCCTCATTCAAAAAGCAGTCCGACTGAAACACTCCTTATAACTTCAGCGAGAATGGGCGGGGCTAAACTGCAGCAGGCCGAAAAGATGCATAAATGTAAATGCAGTGGTTTTCATGAAAAACAACAAAAACAACCCTTTCAAAACGTACATACCGTTCACTCTCCAGCCCATACAGTCCATGTATGCAAACCAAGGCCCCAAAACAGCCTGCTTTGATTTTGAATTCACTGTTTTTGTGATGTCACAAAAACCAACCCATGTACATTTATCCACCGATTAAGCCTACAGTATATTTACATATACAGAAGTCAGAAAATGGTCATGTAAAAATGAATTATGACTGTTTTTTGTTCCTCAGAGGCAAAAAAAAAGAACAATTGAGGATATGAGCCCTTTAATAAAAAACAAGAGAGAAGCAGATTTACACCAAAAAATTCCCAGCAGTCTCATTTTAATTCACTTTAACAGTTATTCTACACTCTTACTCTTTAATACTGTTTTTTCATGTCATTATTAGTATCATTTGTTTTGTTTTTCAGTGTTAAGTATTTATACTGTAGTCCTGACAGCAGCTGTTCACTCATCTCTTACACTGTAACAATAAATCTAATCTGATCTAAAATTTGCACATTTCGTTGCCGTTTCTCTGTATCTAAGAGTCTGAATTATATCTCATCTATAAACTCAGCAAAGTAAAACGCACTCTGCACACCGTATACTGAGAACCGTCCCGTCTACCGTTAAAGGTAATACAGTCAACATACACGTTCAGTGGTGATAAGACACACTTTTCACTATTTAAACAGAGAACTCTCCCACTTTAGAAGCTCACGTTCACGTCTTCAAGCTCCAGTTATAAAGAAACATATAAGTACGCGCTGCGTATGGTAGCGCTTTACCTCAGACTCAAGATACCTTCACTATAAGCTCTTATTTATTATTTATTTATTTAGTACTGATATGTTTTTTAGCTTAACAGCCAAATAACAGTTTTAGACTACTCTGCTTTTTTATAACGCTGGACCATTAACAAACAAACAAATAAGTAAATGAACATATAAACTTGCCATTATGTAACTATCAAGTCAGTCTGAATCAGTTGTTTATTTTTCTGTAACGTGGATTTAAAAAGAAACAGCCGAGGAAGAAATACAACGCTTAAACATAGATTTGCTATGTTTAAAGGGCCCATATCCTACACTTTTCTTGGATTTTAAGGCCTACGTTTACGGCATTTGTGTGTTTTTATGTACCAAAACAGGCTTTAAACATTTTTACCTGACCTTTTTTCTATCCTCACTTCATCCTTCAGAATTAAACAGGCTGTTTTTTGTTACTGTGCCTTTAAGACTGATTTATCATCACTGTCCAAAACAAACAAGACAAAACAAAAATCTCCATTTTTTCATTTTTTACTACATAATTTGAGCTAAACAGCTGCTCTTTACTCTGCATCAAACTGTCATGATTTATGCACCAATAGAAACGCTCCAAAACTGCTTGGAATAAAATTTCATTAGATTAAAAGTGAGGAACGTTTTTGTCCTCTCCTGTAAAGTTACCTGTAAAGTTTGGACAGCGACAATATGTAAATGAGCTTTGTGTAGATTGGCTGCCCTGTATTGTGCCTCATACAAAGCCAGTCTGGGCTAAAACACTCCTCATAACTTCAATGGGCAGGGCTAAACTGCTGTAGACTAAACAGGTGGATATACAGTCCAAAAAGTCTTAGACTGTGAGTTTAAATGCTTCCATTTTGCATTCTTCTCTAATTTAATACAATTGGTTTATTATGATTATAAGCTTAACAACGAGTGAAAAGTAGAACCCTGAATTAATAACGTGAATCTCAGAATTTCTTAATATTTGGTGCTGCGTCCCCTTTAAATTTTTGTGACATCACAAAACAACCTGTTTTATGGAGCTTAGCTTCCACATATGTACTGTATGGACTGAGGAGTGAACTGTATGTTTTGAAACTTTAACAATGTCTACGCACTACATCAAACTCTTATTTGAATACAGTGAGAACCTTTTGGTTTTCTATGATTTGGGTCCTTTAAGGCTGCAGTCAAAGCTCTGGTTTTGCTGTGAAATGCTCTGGAAAGATGGGTCAGGTTTGGAGAGGTTTAGACTCTGGCTCACCTTATGTTCCCGGTTCTTGTGTGCAGCAGGCGTCACTCTGAAGGAAATCACCTTGTAGCGAGGAAGATTGGGGCCAGAATAGTAGCACACTGTTACAGCAGCTGCTGCACAAACACACAAGAACAAAGAGTGAAAAACGAAAGTGCTAAACGAGTCAAAGTGCTCCAAACAGACCTTCAGTGCAGAGCTGGGCATTAAAACTGATTACATTCAGTATCACCACACATTTAACAGGATGTGAGATAAAACTAATGCAGACTCCAATATTATCAATGCACGCTCAGGAAAGCATGGACCCATTAACCTTATTAATGATATCATTACTGAAGTTAATGAGGCCATGCTTTCTGAGTGCTTAAAGGGAAAGTCCACCAACTTTTAAAATTTCCTGCATAATTAAATGGTTAAGATGTAAACAGAGTCGTTCAGAGTGGTTTGGTGTGAAACGCTCAGTTCTAGAGAAACTTACCGAGTCAGAACTGTTCACAGTGGTGGTGATAGGAACCAGACGTCCACCTCTAAAAGCTCCCTCACAGAAACTACATGAAATGGTTATGAATTCACTGCCTGATGACTGAGACACTGTTTTATGATAGTTTTGAGAAGCTTTTGGTCTAAAACATTACTTTTTGAAGTTCACGGCGGAAGTGTACATACAGGGTGTTGTGAGGCCAAATAGTACCCCAAAGAAACTTTTTTGAAGAGATTTTTAACTATTTTCCATCATCAACATTCCATATAAACTCAGAAGACTCGTGTAGGTTCACTGGTGGTTTTGGATAGTAAATAAAATGGCTATATCTGTGTTGTAGTCATGGTGACCCCTGGTTCCTATCACCACTACTGTAAAGACATCTGATTTCACACCAAACCTCTCTGAATCTCTCTGTTTACACCTCAAACACTGAATTAGTCAGACATGGAATTCTTCTTTTAAAATTACACCAAAGTGGATCTTATACAGTATTGTAAGTGTTAAAAAGACAAAAATTGTGCTTTTAATCTACTGAAAAATGAAGAACTGTGGTCTGGCTTTTGCACAGAACTGTATTTGGTTCCATTTGGACAACATTTAAACAAAAGGAACCGACTGTACATGACAAAGGAGTTTAGCACAATAATATTGTTCAACAGTTGATGATCAATGATCTCTTTCATGAGTAAAAGGAACATCACTCTTCCACACAGAAACAGCACGTCAGTGCTGAAAGACTTGTTCCACAACAACTGACTCTGGCCCTACAGGTCACACTATGATTTACCATTTAAAAAATGAATGCAGTGAAAACGCTGTTTGAATTTGCTATGCGGATTTATTATCATGATTCACAGTGGTGGTGATAGGAACCAGACATCCACCTTTAAAAGCTCCCCTCAAAGAAAGTTATTACAGGAGATGGTTATGAATTCACTGCCTGATGACTGAGACACTGTTTCACGATAGTTTTGAGAAGATTTTAGGCTGCAACATATTTTTTTTTAAATACATTCATGGTGGAGGGAAACATATAAAACATTGTGTGGCAAAACAGTCTGCAAAGAAAACTTAATTTAGATTTTCCACCATCATCAATATTTCATATAAACACTCAGAAGACTTGTGTAGGTTCACTGGTGGCTTTGGATAGTAAATAAATGACTATATAGTTGAATGCACCTGTTTGAACACCTTGGTCCAGTTACAAGTTGTGTTGATTTTCTAAGAGAAAACTGATTTTCCACAAATTTTAGTGCACAATTTTTCTTTATTTTAATTTATTTAACCTATTGGAAAAATATACATAAAAATAAATGTGCCATAACTTTTGCACAGACAACAGTTTTAATTTTTCAGTAAGTTGATTTCAGCAAATTAACACTAATCATGCATTAAAATGTACAGAGGTGTGTTCTCCATAGAGGATATAATGACACTCATTTTCTTAGAAAATCAACAAATACACTGAATTTGTCCAGGGGTGCCTAAACTTTTGTATATGACTGTATATATGTTGTAGTCATGGTGACCCCTGGTTCCTATCACCACCACTCCAAAGAAACTGCAGCCATTTCACACCAAAACCGCTCTGAATGACAACCACTAAAACATTTTTGCTAATTTAGGACCTGATAAGTGCAAATTTTGGAAATTCATAATTAAAAAAATACAGTAAAATTTTCAAGGAAAGTTGTCTTGCTTTTTTTAGTGGGGGAAATCTATGCTGTGACCCTGCATGACATGCAGACTGTACCTGATACGTGCTCACCATCGTCCTCGTCCTCATCTGCATCTTCTCTCAATTGTCCTCCACTAATTTCCTCATTATCAAGAATCCTGAGCCGGACTGAGATCAGAAGACATGCCTTGCATTTCTCGTCCTTTTTGCAGCACAGAACAGCTTTTACATCCAAACCCGTCACTTCCACAGGGCCGGAGTCAAGCGACTCCACCCGAAACGACTCATCCGCTGTGCATTCATCCAAACCCTGAAAAAACAGAGCAGAACTTTATAGTGTGAATATAAAAGATCAACATTGTGCTGAAAAAGTGTAGCATCCAGGTCCAGTTTAGTCTCCCAAAGGTTACAATGTAAATGTGCCCTCAATGGTACAACTGTGTACCTTAAATGAGCTTTAAAGGTAGAGTCACGCTGCCAGGTAAAGGTGCACATTTGTACCTTTTAATAATTTACTATGGCTGAATCTCTAATACGCCCTACACAGTGCACTACACAGGTCTCTAAATACTGGCTCCTGCACCCAAACAGAGCCTCATATGTCTAACAAAGAGCCGACTGGGATTCAGCCTTGTGTGTGCAATTCCCTACTGGACGTGCAAAAGTTTGCGCACCTCTGGACATGTTTGGTTGATTTTCTAAGTGCAGATTAGTTAACATCTCTACAGAGACACACTTTTGCACATTTTAATGCACAACTACTCTTTATTTACTGCATTTTAACATAAAAACGGAAACATAAAATGTGGCCTGTGCAAGAGTTATGTTATTTTTTCCAATATGTAGTACACTGTTAGAAATAAAGGTTCTGTTCAGGTACATTTTTCATTCATCAAGGTACAAACAGTGTAAATGTTCCCTCAAAGGTACAACAGTGGTTTTAAGGTCTGATTGTGAACCTTAAATAAGTTTTTCCAGGTGAAAAGTTCGTATTTGTACCTTTTCATAACCGAATGTTTTAAAACAGAACAGTAAAATAAAAGCCTGGAGACGAGACGGGGTGTGTGGAGTCAGTACAGCTTAGAACATATCATTTCAGTGGATTATGGTTCAGTTATGTTCCCTGACTAAAGGTACTGAGATGGACCCTTGAGGGAACCACCCCAGTGACAGTTTACTACCTTTATTTTAGAGTGTATGCAGCCACTAAGGCTGGCACTCTTGGACTATATAAGTGATCTACAGATTAATTTGAAAATGATCAGTTTTTTAAAGGTTAGTGTAGTGTACACTGTATTTCCAAAACTATTAGTGAGTTCGGCTACTTGAAGCTGCACCCACTGCTGACACAGCTGGTATAATCTCCACAGAAAAGCCAATAGAATGGGACCCTCTGGAGCAGCTGCTCATGAGCCTAAGGTCACCATGCCCAATGCCAAGCGTGGGCCAGAGGGGTATAAAGCTGTGGAGCAGTGGAGCTGCGTTCTCTGGAGTGATGGAGCTCCATTCAATACCTTTGGGATGAGTTGGAGTGATCCAGAACTGACCATCCAACATCAGTACCTGACCTCACAAATGCTCAATCAAATCCTCACAGCAAATGTTCCAACATCTAGCGTAAAGCCTTCCCAGAAGGTTTAAAGGCCAAACCATTAACTGGATAAAAACAAATAACAATAACAATCCAAACAGAGTCTTTCAAATATAAACCTGGAAACTTGTAACAGATTTTTAAAAATATTTAGCCAACTGTGTTTAACATCTTACTTTAATAAGATGATTGACTGCATCTTATTAAAGCGCTTTTCACTGTATTAAAACATGTGGCTCTAAAAGCATGGAACCCTATGATCAAATATGCAAAAGAAACAAAATCACACCTCATTTCATGCATAGTTTAGCAGCCGAGAGGCGAAACGAAAGCACAACACAATCACAGTCAGAACCACTTTACTGTCTGTCACATGAAACATGGATAGAAATGTTTCTGACACAAACTCGGAACAACTAACAACATCGTAAATTATTCAAGCCAAATTTTTTCGAAATTTCTGCATAATTCAGTGTTTCAGATGTAATCAGAGTGATTCAGAGTGGTTTGGTGTGAAATGGTTCAGATGTCTTTACAGTGGTGGTGATAGGAACCAGGGGTCGCCATGACTACAACACAGATATAGACATTTTATTTACTATCCAGAACCACCAGTGAACCTACACGAGTCTTCTGAGTTTATATGGAGTGTTGATGATGGGAAATAGTGGAAAATCTGAAATACTGAGTTTTCTTTGGGGACTATTTTGTCTCACCCATCATTGCCCCTCCAACAAGAACGGATTTAAAATGAATGTCTTAAAACAATCCTAAAACAGTGTCTCAGTCATCAGGCAGTGAATTCATAACCATTTCATGTAGTAACTTTCTGTGAGGGAGCTTTTAGAGGTGGACGTCTGGTTCCTATCACCACCACTGTGAACAGTTCTGACTCGGTAAGTTTCTCTAGAACACTAAACCGCTCTGAACGACTCTGATTACATCTCAACTGTTTAGTTATGCATTTTAAAAAGAGAAACTCTTTAAAGAGCTCATATCCTACGTTTTTTAAATTTATTTCCCTGGTTCACTGTGTTTAACCCTCTTTATCCTTTAATTTTTTACTCCTGTGTTCTTTAGACGGATATATGTAAATGAGCTCTGTTGTGATTGGCAGCCCTGTACATAGCTTCATTCAAAAAGCAGTACAGGCTAAAACAAAAGTCTTTGTAACGTCAATGTAAACAGGTGGTGGGGGGGTTAAACTGCTGAATAGGTGCATTTATGTAAGTGCATAGATTTTTGTGACATCACAAAAACAGCGAATTCAAAACTGGCTGCTTATGCAGCTAAGTTTCCATATATGGATTGAACAGTACATTTTAAAACCTTAACATACTACATTTCGTTCCAAACAGTGAGGAGAGATTCAGTTTTCCGTGATATGGGCCCTTTAAAGCGCTCAGGCATTAAGAGCCTGGACACACGGCACAGCGTCTCAAACACGGGACATGAATGTCATTGAACTCTGAACGACTTTCAGTTCCCATTTAAAGGATTTCTGTCATTCAGCCAGCCTGTTTGCAGTACTTCCTTCCTTTTACTGGGAACCACCACTAATCACCAGCTGATACTGGAACAAACAGGAGCTTCCCAAAGTCCCCCAACACCTGAAACCTGAGACCACCCTATAATAAACCAGCAGAGCTTCATATGAACCAGCAAACCACCACAACAAACACAGACGCAGCCATAAAGACGAGGCTGCGCTGAGCTCTTACCTGAGAGCAGGTGAGCGTCTGTCTGGGCTGATGTTTCTCCAGCAGGTCTGAAGATGCCAGAGCTCCAGCCAGTAGAACCAGCACAAACCCCCCCAACCCCATAACTCAGCACCCCGTCCACTCCGACAGCAGCGGAGCTCGAGGAGGGAGGAGGAAAGAGGCGAGAGGGAATAATCCGAGTCGCGAGCCGCCGTCTGTCTATCCTGTTTCCACAGAAATCGCTAAATCAGTATCGGGAGAGAGCAGCATGGCGCTGACGTCATTCAGTAGGAAACGGCTTGGACGAAGGAGAAACGCAGAAGAGGTTGAAGCTCCACTGATGTGTCGCTGAATATCCACTGAAACACAGAGGGACGCGTCTGAGGGTCTCTGACCGGCCGCTCGGCTTTACCTGAGAACAGGTTAGACAGGTGAGCTCCAATCTCAGGCTGTGACGTAGAATTCCTGAAAGTGGGCGGCGCCCGTACCGCAACTCATGTGACCTGCGCTCGCTCGCGCTCTCTCTCTCTCTCTCTCTCTCTCTCCTTCTGCCTCTCCCTCTATCTCTCCTTCTGCTCTCCTTCTCTCTCTTCTCTCTCTTTCTCTTTCTCCCTCCTTCTCTTTCTCTCCTTCTGCCTCTCCCTCTCTGTCCTTCTGCCTCTCCCTCCTTCTCTTTCTCTCCTTCTGCCTCTCCCTCTCTCTCTCTCCTTCTACCTCTCCCTCCCTCTCTTTCTCTCCTTCTGCCTCTCCCTCTGTCCTTCTGCCTCTCCCTCCTTCTCTTTCTCTCCTTCTGCCTCTCCCTCTCTCTCTCTCCTTCTGCCTCTCCCTCTCTCTCTCCTTCTGCCTCTCCCTCCTACTCTTTCTCTCCTTCTGCCTCTCCCTCTCTCTCTCTCTCCCTCCCTCTCTTTCTCTTCTTCTGCCTCTCCCTCTCTGTCCTTCTGTCTCTCCCTCCTTCTCTTTCTCTCCTTCTGCCTCTCCCTCTCACTCTCTCTCTCCTTCTGCCTGTCCCTCCCTCTCTTTCTCTCCTTCTCCCTCTCCCTCTCTGTCCTTCTGCCTCTCCCTCTCTCTCCTTCTGCCTCTCCCTCTCTCTCTCCTTCTGCCTCTCCCTCCTTCTCTTTCTCTCCTTCTGCCTCTCCCTCTCTCTCTCCTTCTGCCTCTCCCTCCCTCTCTTTCTCTCTCTTCTGCCTCTCCCTCTCTTTCTCTCTCTTTCTCTCTCCCTCCCTCTCTTTCCCTCCTTCTGCCTCTCCCTCCCTCTCTTTCTCTCCCTCTGCCTCTCCCTCTCTCTCCTTTGGTGTCTCCCTCCCTGTCTCTCTCTTTCCCTCCCTCTCTTTCTCTCTCTTCTCCTTCACAGAGTACATACACACATGCAGTACACTGTATAAGGGGCCCATAATTTGCATGTTTTTTAAAAAGTAGAGTCTGACAGAGAACGTAAACACAGTTAGAGTTTCCCCCTCAGTCCATACTGTCCACTCATGGGAACTAAAATGAAAACAGCGTTCAGTCTGTTTTAATCTCACCCTTTTTCTGATGTCAGAGAAAAACAAAGTGTTTACAGACACCTGCCTATTCAGCCTGGAGCAAATCAGCTCTGCCCACTTACACAAAGCATACTTTTTAAAGTGAAAGTAGCTCTATTTATTTATTTATTTATTTATTTAAACTAATTACACACACTCATACATCAAACACACATACAGCACATCTTAAGCAGAAGTCTAAGCACCTAAGCAGATTATTTAAAACCACTTATCTGGCAGTAAGTGTGTATTTGTTGGTGACGCACTGCTTTGAATTAATTTGATCAGATTTTTGCACAGGTTTCACAAACCACACCACCATCTCACTGCAGTTATCCTCAGCATTTCTGAGCTGAAAAGTTTAAGATGTATTTTTATGAGATTATTTTAGATAGCTAGTTTATCTTGCTACTCTAGAAGCTAGCCCATCCAGCTTAAATAGCCAAATTACCAAAGCAGACAAGGTAATCTAGCTAATTAAGCAGGATATCAGTTAACTAGCTGGCTAACTAACACCAGGAAGGTACGTTAGTTAACTTAAGTATTAACTGTTTAAGCAACTAATAACCTCAAAAGATCCATATTAGCTGACGAATGGCTAATCTTTGAGCTTAATCATTGTTGAGCTGCTGGTCCAGGGGTTGGCAACATGCGACTCTTTTACTGTCCTGTTGTGGCTCCACAGCAGAATTAGATCTGTAGGTAAAAATAAAATAATCCTCCTTTACAGTAAAATAAAGCTCTGCTGATCGTTCAACACAGTTTAACAATAAATGGTCTTAAACTCTGGAGTTAATGTAGAACTGCTGATTCACCCTTTAACCCTGAAGATCAGCGCAGACTGCTGGTCATAGCTGGCCATAGCAACGCAGACAACAGTCTCGTCTAGCTAGTAGCTAACGAAACGGCAAAGAGAGAGATTTAAGATGAAATGGACTGAATGGACTTATTTGCATTTATAATCACTCCAGCTGGTTTCCTGATACGTTTAATCTGCAGTGAGAAACTGAAACACTAAAAATTTACGAGGCTGAAGTCAGTTTCTCATTCGCCAGCTACTTGTTTGAATATTCCCGTTCCACCTTAAATGGTGCAGCAGTTACATTCTGCCACCTCAGGCACCATTTAAGGTGGAACTGGAAAATTCGAACAAGAAGCTGGTGAATGAGAAGCCTCAGCCTCATAAAAAGTCAAACGTTGAGAGACATTTTCCAAGAAACTATTTCATTTTTGCGGAAAAGTTTCCTGCTGGAGATGTGAGAAAAGTGGCTGTACCTGAGCTAAAGCTTTAAGCAGAGCAAAGTAAGTCTGTGTTTTCATTTCTATTATGTTCTAGCCTGTACTAGCACATCGGCACATACTGAGACATATTTACAGCCAAGATGGTAAAACTGGACATAAAATGTTGTGGCTCCTAAGGTGGTTCAATTTTTGTTTAAAGGACAAAATGGCTCTTCTTCACATCTGGGGTGCCGACCTCTGGTTTAGGAGCTTTCAAGAAGGAACCTTTTACTTTTTTTTAAATACAGCTTCCAAAAAACCCACAGCAACAATAAACAGAACTAAATGATTAACTGTATGCACATGACTCAGTTTTGACAAAATGTTTGATAGAGCCTTATAATTCTAAGCCTTGATATACCAGTAGAATAAACACAGTGTTTGTGCAAGAGTGTAACGATTTAGGCATGTTGATTGAGCAATGCTGATCTGGTTGATGGGAAATAAACAGCCTCAGCTCTGATTTAGGTTCACAACACCTACTTACTGTGCAGTGATGACAACAGAGAAAGTGTGTTGCAATAGATTCCTTCTCAGAATATGAGTAGGTGTCTTTAAACTGGCACTTCTTTTGCTCTTTAGTACACTCTTAAAAATGATGGTTCTTCAAGGGCTCTTTAGTAAAGAAAATAGTTCTATATAGAACCATGAAATACAGTTATGTTATAACTGAGGTTTGGGGGGAGGAGCATGGCTGAGACCCCTCCTTCTTCCAATCTAACGCCCTATAAATTCACGTCCTTACCTTCCGTTCCTGTGACAGAGTCCCCCCTCCTCCCTCAATCAGTCTTCCCACATACTACCACCACCATGTTGAAGGCATGGTCTGAACTCACAAACACTCAAAGAACCCTTTGCATGATTAAAGGGTTCTTTGCATCATGAAATGGTCCTATATAGAAGCTTTTTTTTAGAAGTTCCCCTTTTTGGTGCTATATAGAACCCTTTTTAAAAAAGTTATACATAGAACCATAAACAGCACTTTCTTCATCAATCTGAAGAACTATTTTATGATGTAAAGAACACTTTAATCTGCAAATTATTTTTTTGAGTGTTCATGGTTCTCTACAGAACCATTTTCTTGCATACTTGTCATAATAGAAGAACCCTTGATGGTTCTATATAGAACGTTTTTGAAAAGGGTTCTATATAGCAAGCATGCAGTATTAAAAACATGGTGCTATTTTATGATGCAAATAACCTTTTAATCATGCAAAGGGTTCTTTGAGTGTTCATGGTTCTATATAGAACCATGTTTTTAAGGGTGCACTACAAACATTTAGATAAGCCTCTAACATAATCTCAAGCAGACAACATAGAAGCAGAGAAGCATAAATTGACGAATGCATGCAGAGACATGCAAACATTAGACAGGAAGAAAATACATTTTTCTTGTTTATTTTTTGACATAAAGGTGTTTGACGTACCACATAAACATTGTATGTTTTAAAATGTACCATTCGCTCCTGTCCACAGTCCTTATACGGGAACCAACAGCCTGTTTTTGATTGGCTGTTTCGTGATGTCACATTTACATATATCCTATTCAGCATACAGCATTTTGGGTAGTGCTGTTGCCTCGCAGCAAGAAGCACCTGGGTTCGGTTCCCCGGCCGGGTAACCAGGGTCCTTTCTGTTTGCATGTTCTTCCTGTGCCTGTGTGGGTTTCCTCCCACAATCCAAAAACATGCGGTCAGGCCAACTGGACACGCTAAATCGCCCCTGGGTCTGAGTTTGTTTGTGTGTGAATGTAGAAACAATGTGGATGTAAAAGGTACCAAATTGTTAGTATTATATTAGAGTTCAGTATAGTCAAAGTTGCATGTGATGGTAAGACAGATCAGGTGAGATGAGGTAATGGAGGGTGGCTAATCTTTCCAGAGCAGCATAAAAAAGCTTGATTTTTCCCGTTATTTTTTAAGTTGCAGCCCCAGGTAACTCAGGTTCATTTGCGAACCCTTCATTTTTAATAAAAGACTCGACTTTTCTCTGTCATTCTTGGTGTTTAATTGTTTTCTGTTTTGTATCAGGTGAAGTTTTATTTCTAAATTAAAAGCATGCTGTTTTTTCCACGACACATCGCTCATTCATGGTGAAGTTATAAGGAGCGTTTCATCCTGCGCTGCCTTTTGAATGAAGCATTATATATCTCGGTCTTAAATGCACAACAAAAGCCTGTTGAACCAACTGACAAAGAGAGGATGGAAAATGTTCAGGGTTAAAGGACTTCTGACAGCTCTTTGGTAAATATACCCACACAAACAATATAATTGGACCTCAGGGAGAAAGGTAACGTAAACAAAAGAAGACTATAGGACACAGGCCCTGTAAAGGGAAGTTTATTGTGTCTGTGTTTCTCTTTTTCCCTGTAATGTTGACACTACTTTTTTCTTCCTACTCTGGTGTGACCAGCGTGTCCTGTTTAATTCAGTCAATCTTTAATCTTGAAATGCATCGACTCAAAGTCCACTGTTGTGTGATATGGTCTGTTTGGCTGTCCAGTGGTCCGTAAATGGCCCCATGGAAACAGGACAAACAGGAGTTCTAAGGTCTGTGGTGCATAACCAACACCTACAGCTACTATCAGTTCAAGCACACAGCGTTTGTTTTGGACTAAACGGACAAAGCCTTTTCTTCAGCCGTGTCGAGTTTGACTGATTTAAAAAGATATTCACAGTTGTAGTCAGTCAGCCAAGGCAAGTTTGCTTCTTTAGTCCTGCACTGGAGCCACGAGGCTTATGTAGACAAGTAGTTTATGCTTAGGAATGTCA